GACTACGTCTACTCGTTGCATTTTTGTGCAGCCAAATCTGCGTTTAGTTGCTTTTTTTCAGTTTTCTTCAATTGAGCCAAGAAAAACATGCAAAAATACAAAAAAATCTGATTATTTCTTTGATTAAAATAGTTTATGCTGATTTTATTGTTGGAAAAGTAAAAAAACCAACAACAAAAAAATCAATGTTTACGGTGATTGTAGCTTTTAAAAATGATGTTTTCTGACCTTAAATGTGACCAAATGTTTGCACATCTCTGATTTACCTTCATCAAGCTGCTCATGGTGTCCCGGACCTCGCTCATAGACGGCCTTTGACTAGGCTCTTTGTCCCAGCAGCGGGTCATTAGCGTCTCGATGGGTTCAGGGAGATCCTTGATCAGAGGAGGACGAGTTCCTGCATCGCAGTAAAAAGATCAAACTTCAGAAAAAGCAAAAAATCTGAACTGAGCATGAAGACGTGCTGTGTGGATCTGCCATAGTAACCCACCTCTATGCACCGCCCACATGATGCAGAACGCCGATCCGCCGATCTCCTCGAAGGGCTTCCTGCGGGTGATGACCTCCCACAGGATGATGCTCCAGCTGAACACGTCACATTTCTCGCTGTAGTTACTCCCTGCAGAGAGGAGGAGACGATGCTGGAGCTCAGCTAACAGCAGAGCTGGACTTCCTTCACAAATACCATCAGAACTTTGATGATTTTCCGCTAATGTCGAAAAAAATAAACTTTCGCAAGTGCAATATTTCCATTACATAATAAATGCAATCAAAATCACATGTGAATATGCTTGTTCACAGGATAAGTCATTAAACTCATGCCGCGCCTTCGCCTCCAACAACTTCCTGCCGTCTTCTCCGCCGGTAGTAGCATCCGGCTGCTAATCACTTATCTGATGCAAAAAAATAATAATTCCTTTGCTGTTTTATGCAAAATATTATGGAAGAAATGTTTTTTACATAATTCTGACTTGATCTCAGAAGATTAAAGTCAGAATTCTGAGAAAAAAGTTCAAAATCTGAGATTAAAGTCAGAATTATGAAGAAAAAATCTGAATTCTGAGAAAAAAGTCGGAATTCTAGGAAAAATGAATTCTGATAAAAAAGTCACAATTCTAAGAAATAAGGAATTTTGAGAAAGTCACAATTCTGGAAAAAAGTCGCAATTCTGAGAAAAAAGGAATTTTCAGGAAAAGTCAAAATTCCGAGAAAAAAAGTCAAAATTCTAAGAAAAAAAGAATTCTGAAGAAATGTTCGAATTTTGAAAAAAATGTCAGAATCCTAAGAAAAATGTGAGATTTCTGAGGAAAAAATTGAAATTCAGAGATTAAAGTCAAAACGAAGAAAAAAAAATTCTGAATTCTGGGAAAAAGTCGCAATTCTAAGAAAAAAAGGAATTATAAAGAAACGTTGGAATTCTGAAAAAACGTTGGAATCTTGAGAAGAATATCAGAATCCTCGGGAAAAAGTTGAAATTCTAAAGTCAGAAAACAACAATTATTTCAGTGGCGCTAATCCTCGTCCATAAATGATACTTATTTCAATATCTGAACTTGCTTTGAGATACAGTATTTCAATATCTCAAAGCAAAGAAAAAAAATTAGCTTTCTTTGAAATTGTTGAGTTTCCATGAACCAAATAGTTTTTTGAAATTCCACTTTGTGCGATTATCTGGTCAGTGGAACCGCGGTTAACGGCAGAAATGCAGCCGAAGCGCCTCGGACCTTCGAACACTTCGGGAGCCATCCAGGCGGCGCTGCCCTTGTTGTTGGTCATGCAGGTCTGGATGTCGCACGCTGTCCCAAAGTCGCAGATCTTCAGCACAGTTCCCCGAGCAACAAGCAGCAGACTGAAACAGAGGCAGAAGTCAGAAGCAAAAACCACAGGCCCCTGATGCATCGTGCTCCGCCGGGGCTTTACTTTGGCGGTTTGAGGTCTCTGTGGATCAGAGCTTTGGGCTTCATGTTGTGCAGGTAGGCCACGCCGTCCGCGCACTGCAGGCACCAGCTCATGGCGTGGGCGGCCGTGTAGTGAGGCAGCGGGTCGGCGCTGTGCAGGACTGGGACACCACAACAAAACTTTTCCTCAATGATAAATAAAACCAACTTTTATACCAGACAATGGTAATATCAATTTTAAATGTTATGATTTTATTTACTGAGTGAAGAAAAAACTTTCCAATTCGGCCAAGTGTAGAAAAGTGACAGTAAATTTGCTTGATAATCTGATTTAAATGTGACAAAACTAGAATAAATCTGAAATTTTGTTGTGTGTTTCTCTAAGTACTTTAACATGTTTTTAGTCAAAAGTAGACATCAAAGAAATTATTCAAGTAAGAGTAAGAAAGTATTTGGTAAAAAGTTAACAATTTAATATTAGAAAATGACATCAGCTGAACCAAAATATCAAGTTACTGGAGAATTGTTGGTATTTTAGGAAGAATAATTGATATAAGTAACAAAAAATAACAAAATCAGTCAAAATATTTTTTTCCAAATCAATTTCTTTTAATAAAAAACTTATAAAACTTCAACAAAAACTGCAAGTGTGTCTGGTGAATTTTTGTTTAAAACGTGTTTTGTTTTTTTTCATTCCAGAAATTTTACTCAGAGTAGAAATACTTCTTTAAAAAATTATTCAAGTAAAAGAGTAAAAATTACAGCGCAACAATACAACAAGTTATTTTTTAACAAAAAGTTACTGAGGTAAATGTAACAGTAAAGTAACTAGTTACTCTGTGAATGAGACGATGAGACTCACGGTTGTATAAAGAGCCACATTCTGCGTACTCCATCACCAGACAAACCTGACGACACAAACGAAAAGAAAGAATCGTGAAGCACTGAGTAAATATTTAATTCTCTATTTGCTCAACATTTTGATGAAATGTGCAGAGAAATAATCATTAAAGGCTCAAATCTGACCTGCATTTGACTCTGTTATCTAAAGAAATACGACAGATTAATGACTCAAATCTAAACGATTTAAGCATTTAATTCATAAACAGAACCAGCAGAACCGGGTTCTCACCGGGTCGTCACAGGAGCCGTACAGCTTCACGATGTTGGGATGACTGACCCGGGAAAGCTGCCGGAGCTGCACACAGGCAAACAGAACCAGGTCCGAATAAAAGGAAAAAAACAATTCACATCAGCAGAAATAAAGACACAGAATAATCTGGGTTTTCTAAGCTTCTGTTCAGAACCCAAATGAGACATTTAGTAATAAATCTTTTTATTTATTGATTCAGATAAATGAGAACATTTTAAAATTTTATTAGAATAAAAATAAAGTACATTGTTTTTTTTGTGTTTTTTTTCAGCTCTGGAGCAAATAGTTCCTGCAGATAAATGAAAATATTCTCATTGTTTACAGTCACCTTTGAACGTTTCTTTCTTTTAAGCCTTTAATATCAACATTTTAACATTGTTTTTTTGTTATTTTCTTCATGCTTTTTGTATGAATGTTGGTAAATAAACAAACGTGTCTTTAAACTCCCTATATAATAAACTATATTTTAAATAATTGATATTTTCAGTTTTGCTGCGCTGTCCAGATCTTATTTAGTAAAAATAAACCAAAAAAGGGCTTTTTGGTGAGTAAAAGGGTCCGAACTGGCTCCCCTTCAGACATCAGCGTTGGTTAAACTGGACTTAACCTGGATCTCACCCCGGTCAGAGTCGGTTCTGACCCAGAAACCCTGGATCCGTACCTCCACCAGGAAGGCGTTCCTCTCTGCGTCGCTCTCGATGGTCTTGATGGCCACATCTTTTCCCCTCCAAACAGCCTTGAAGACCACACCGAAGGTCCCTCTGCCCACAGCCTGCAGCCACACACACGGAACCTGGTGAGGGACTCGCCGATCCGAACCGCTCACCGTAACGCAGGAACTTCACAAGCTCGGCCCTGAACCTCGCCTCGAACCTCTTCTCGACTGCAGAACCAGAACTTACCGCTTCGAACTGGATATCATCGTACTGGATGTCCTCAAACACCATGGTTCCCCCCACCCCCCTCCTCAGGGCCGAATCGGAACCAAGCCGCTGCTCCGTCGCAGATCTGAAGCACCAAAACAAACTATCTGCAGTTTGAGGAAGTGGAGCACTTTAGCAGCCTGGCTGATTAAATCCGGGTGTTCCTGAACGCCTCACGGAGGCGGAAGAGAACAGTACTCCAGGTCGTGACGTTCAGACATCACATCCATTCCACACACGCTTATCTTCCCGCTACGTCTCTGTGATCTGAGTGGATTTATGGAATTTACGTGATTTAATTCAGGTTCCTAAACGCAGCTTTACTTAAAGACAAAAGCATCCACTAGGGGGCGACAACACACATCAAATTTCAGTTTACTTGTACAAGCTCTCCATTCCAAAGAGATAATAATAATAATAATAATAATAATAATAATAATAATAATAATAATAATAATAATAATAATAATAATAATAAAACACCTTTCTTGAAAAAACATGACTCAGACAAAAGTAAAATAAAATAAAAAAGAAAGAAGATAATCACTTTTCTCAAAAAAAGACTTAGGCCATTATTTTTAGGAAGGTGATAATTTATATAAAGTCACATTTCGTTATTACATAGATTGTTTAAGTTTTAAATCTTAAAATATATACATTTGCTTTATGTTTAAACAAGCTGTTTCAGTTTTATTATTTTTTTAAAATTAAACTTTTACAAAGAGAGAATTAATTGATTTTCCTGAATACATTGTTCTCTACTTATGGTAGAAGATTAATAGATTTTGTAGCTTGTAACTTGACAATAACACGAAACAACAAGCACTTCTTTTGTGCTGTTAGTTTTTATTCTTATGCATAAAATACACAAAACCTGCTGATGCGTGTCTTTTTTATTACTTTGGAATGAAGTTTTGGAAATAATTAACCTTTCAGTTATATGCAGGTTTATTGAAGTGTGCCAGTGCGTCTCAAAAAATAAGGATCTGATTGATAACCCATCAAAAGTCAGCCGTGTTTACGCTCTTCCAGCTCAACACTCAGTCTTTTATTCAACACTCAGTTTATTATGAAAGAGTCACAGAGAAACAGGATACATTTTACTCATTTTTACAGTTTAACAACAGAAACAAACATAAATCAGGCCAAGAACAGGCACATCTGTACAACACTGATTATTTAAATACACAATTTTAAAATTAAATTAAATTGCTATATGTAAAACCATCATCTTGGAATATTTTGTTCATTATATCAACTGATTATAAAACATAATTAAACTCGTTTGATAATGAATAAGACATAAATACACATTATTAATCAACTGATGGTTCTGTTATTGCACATCACTTTTAGAAACACGAACATAATGATGAAGTGTTTGAACAAACAATAAATAATTATAATAAACAGATGCTGTGTTTTCACTATCAGGTGGATTGGTGAGAGTTATTTTATAGTTTTCTTCTAAATATTTCAACTTATTCTTTGATCTGATGAAAAACTTAAAAGTGCGGTAGGTAACTTTTATGTACATATATCTTTTTTTTTTCTTGACAGTGTCACTATGGTGCCAGTTTGATTTGAGAGATGATATGTGGAAAAAAAAATTCAAGCTCCTCCTTTTCCCCAGTGCAAACTAGAAACAACCTATCAGAGTCAGGAGGCGGGTCTTACCGCTGTCAATCACCATCTGCACCTAGCACAGCCTGTTGTGAATGCTGAGGCTAGTTAGCATAGCAACTAATGACTGTTTTCTGTAATAGTAAGTGGTTTCTCCATGAGGATGATTGGCAGCGCTAAGCTCCTCCTCCTAGCTCTGAGGTTGTTTTGGCTCTTCAGACAGCAGTAGCAGCTCAGGGAGGATCAGGAGGAGATGGATCTTTTCACAGATTATCTGTTTTACATTAGTTTTAACACATATGTAAAAAAAGAACAGATATATTTTTATATAAAAGTTACGTACTGCAGCTTTAACTGGTCTCAGAAACAAATCAGATGTGGTGGGAATGTTTCAGCTCTTTCCGGGTCCGTTTGAAGGTGAAATGTGAAGAAATTTAGTTTCATTAAAATGGCCCAGAATGTTTTGGGGTTTTTTTTTTAGAAACAAAGCAACTTGAGTTTATATATTTTCCATTGAAAACCATTTCTTCAGGGTGAAACCATCATCTCACCAGTGAGCTGGTTCTGATGAACATTATGGTCCAGTCCCAGTAAGGTGCTGGTGATTACTAACTGGTTTCGTCCAGTTCCAGTGAATCTGTCCTGTTTCTGCTTCAGCTCCAGTCCCAATCAAGTCAGTTACTGGTTATTACAGTCATGACGCTGGTTCCGCCTCAGTTCCAGTTAACCCAGTTACTAGCTGTCCTGGTACTGGCTGATGGACGACGCCGGTCTTTGTCTTTGCTTTTTGTCTTTGATCACTTTTTTCTCGAAGAGCTCTCCAGATCGCAGCGCGGACACCAGGTCATCAAACTCTCCTCCTTCCTCTTTCTCCACTGATGTGGCCTTCCTCATCCTCTGCTCCCGGTCCTTCTTCTTCTGCAGGGACAAACACAAAGAGCCAATGAGGCAATGAAGCTGCTGAAGAACCTCAGGCAGGATCTCCACTGACCTGAGCCTCCGCCAGGGCCCGTTTCTCCTCCTCCTCCTGCCGTCGGGCCATGTCCTCGTTATCCTGCCGGGCTTCAGAGCACGCCAAGAGGAAAGTGTTGAAGATCCCAAAGAAGTCGTCCGGCTGCTGTTTGGACGAGTCCTCTCCAAAGTGCGTCAGTGCTTTTACAAACTTCAGCAGAAAAACACGAATTCAAGAGTTAGCTGACAGCATGCTAACTTCCTGAAGTTCAGAGATCTGCTGTTTTCAAAGTCAGTGTTGCATTTATTTAAAAACAGCTTGAATCAGGGACAAATGACAAATATAAAATCAGAATAAAATAAAACTAAAACATCACAATAAGTTTCAAGAAGTGATTTAAATCGACCCAGACTGTCAGCAGACCTAATTTGAAAGAGTAACTTATTCAAAATATTAAGAGCAACAACAGAGGAAGCATCATCTCCTTTGCTCTTAAGTCGAGTCTGGAGGACATTTAATACCAAAAGATTATTTTATCTCAAAGTTCTGGAAACTAATTATATCAACCTTCCAGAACCTTCTTGTCTTCTGGTTCTGGTTCTGCTCTGCATCCCCAGAACCAGAACCAAACAAGGAGAAGCAGCATTCACCATCTATGGACCACAAATCTGGAACAAACTTCCAGAAAACTGTAAAACAGTTGAAACGCTGACTTCCTTTAAATCTCAGATAAAAACCAGCTGTTTAGAGTCGCACTTGAATCAATGATGAATGTAACGATGTCACTTGACTTAATGTAATGTTTTGATTGTTGATTCTATGTTGCACGACTTTGTGTTTGTTATGATGTAAAGCACTTTGAAATGCCTTCCTGCTGAAATATGCTACACAAATAAAATTTGATTGATTGATAAGAAGCCCCCAACTCACTTAAAACTTTGTAAGCTGTTAAAAGAATCTTAAAATCCATCTGACACAAAACAGGAAGCCAGCGTAAATAATCCAATCATGATGTAGTAAAGGCAAACAAGAATAAGATTAAACTCAAGAACTAACTTGTCTAATTTTAATCAACTACTAAAAATAATTTTTGAAAGAAATATTCAGTCACAAACGGTAAAAGGTGAAGGAAACTGTGCTGATGCAACAATATGAGGAACCTGCAGGACAATATTTGACAGTAACTCACCAGATCTTTAGCTTCTTGCAAAGCATCTTCTACATCTAAGAAGTTGAGGGAAGCAACGGTGATGAACTGACTGACCACAGACACAAACTTATCCACTGGACGCTGGGAAGACTGTTTCTGCTGGTACTGCAGCTCCTGCACACAAACATGCTTGTAAGTATAAATCCTGCAAAGTTCAGCAGGTGTTTCATGCTTCTGTTGATCTTACTGCTTCAATGCTCTTCAGACCAGACTTCAGAGTGTTTATTTCCTTCTCCAACTCCGTCATGCTGCAGAGACATTCAGGAAGGCGGCGATATTAACAATTACAGTTAAAGCAGGAACATAAACGTTCTCCAACACGTGTATTTGGGTGCGTTTTCTATTTACTTGACTTTAGAAGCTTCTGGAACGTTCTGCAACTCTTTGCTGAAAGACGCGGCTCTGGGAAACTTTTCCTCCAGCACAGTGATCATGTAGTGCAGCAGAGTGATGTTCCTGCAAACACAACGTCAGTCAGACCTTCACACCTTCGAGCTGCAGGTCTGCAGGGATCTGAAGGAGTTTGGAGTCAAACCTGTCAATGCTGGACTTGGTGTCAACCATCTTGTTGAGGCTAGAAACTTTGAACCCGTAGGCGTTTCCTCGTTGTCCTTTGTTCATGTAGTTCCCGAGGGCCAGAACCACCTGCAGCAGCTGACGGAGCGCCTGGCTGTGGATCACCTCCGTGGAGGCAAGCTTGAGAGCTGGAAGAGGAGAGAGCATGAGGAAGAGGACAGCGAGGAAGGTGCACTGACCTCTGAACTCCTACCTTCAATTTTAGGCTTGACTTCGGCTATTCGGTCGTTGAACTTCTTCTTGAAGTGAAGAGCCTGGAGTCTCTGCTGGTAGTGGTTGATTCTGGTTGAGCAGAAGAAAATATTTAGCCGCCCTAACTGGGGGAGATCCAACTAGTTCCCACAAAATAAGTGATATTTTCTTTTACAATACTGATAACTTTGAGCAAGTTTTAGCAAAAAAGATCAGATGGTAATAGTAAAACTGGACGGAGGGATGGATTAAAGTAATTCTTGTTCATTTTTATTAGAATACGCCAATAAGTTGAGACTAGTTCACTTTTGAATCTGTCTTAAAATTGGCAGGTTTAAGATTCACGCAGTGACAAGGAGGCTGGAGTGCCCATAAATAAAATGTTAACTCCACAAAGAAAAACCCTACAAAGCTTAAAGAAGACCTATGATTCAAAATCCACATTTTGGACATTTTTGTTCTTCCATTTGGATTTCTACTTGTTCAGAAAAACAAACACCCAGATGTGTTTTGGCAACAAGTTATTGTTTTTTGGTGTCTGGAAATTGAAACAGGCAGAACTGAGCAGACTAAAATCTCATTATCTAAGGACGATTTTGTGTAAAAAATGTAACGATCATGTTTTATATTTCCTACAAGTTATCCTAAGCTATTTAAGGAAGCATAATATGTCACCTTTGACCTTCTTAGAGCTCTCAGTTCCCTTTCTTCCACCATTGTTTGGGCCTTCAGTCAGATCCCACCTTCTTTTGCCACTATTATGGAGTTCATTGTTCCTTTGAGACTACAAACTCACAGCCCGACCGGGTGTTGGTGCTGTTACACACCTGCTCATGTCGTACAGGAAGCGGTCGGGTCGGGCCATGCGTTCCAGCTCGTGTTTGTGTTCCTCTAAAAGATCAACGTCGCTCTTCTCAGGGACAAACTTCAACAGCTGAGACACACACAGCAAGAGAATCTGTTTAATTCATCGTGTGAGTCACTCTAAGTCTGGAAGGCTGTTGGTTTCGTACCTGGTCCAACATGTCTTTGGGCAACTCCTCCTGATCATCCATGCTCATGATGGCCTGGCAGATCTCCTCGTTGGTCATCTTCAGTCTGCCACACACAAACTCAAACATTCAACCCAATGTTAGGGTCCAAAACTGAGCAATACTTTGAGAACTGACCCAGACCCACAAGCTGCAGCTTATCAGACTGAATTCCTGGGTCAGGGGAACTGACCAAGATCCAAAACAAGGTCCTGAGACGGGTCCACAAACCTGAAACTGGTCCTGACCAACCAACAGGACTTGAACTAGACCAGAGCCAGACTGAACCCCCAAACTTAAAACTTGACCCCGTTCAAGAAACAATATCTCAGACTGACCAACATATTCTCAAAAGGAGACAAAATAGATTCTTACTCTGACCCAGAAACAGGAACTTAGACTGACCCAAAGTTGCCCACACCCACAGCCAGAAACTCATACTGACTTTGACAACAGGATGTTGCAATTCTGCGCTCGACGGCCGTCGATCACCGACAACTCCTTGACTTTTTTCACAGACTCGGCTTCACCAGTTACTTTCTGTGAAAACAGACAAATAGCTCCAACAAAGGCCAACAGCTCTGTTTACAAAGAGACAAAGTCGATGCATGTAAACTGAGTTTATAGTGAGTATGTTGTGTTACCGCTGGTCGCTGGTAAGCTGAGAAAGTCTTCTGAAACTCCTGCAGATCCAGAACTTTGAACACATCTTTATCATTGATTTCTTTCCAGATGGTTCCCGTTATCTTCACCTGAAACAAACAATTAATAAATGTCATCACCATCAGTTTGATTTAAAAGCAATCCGAGCTCTTTGACATTAGTGAAATCAGTGCAGAGTTTGTGGCTCTTGTCACTTAAAATCCAAATAAGCTGCTGCTGGCCACGCCCCCCAACTCAACGTTTACACACGCACTTGAAAATGGCTGCTCAACATCTTTGAAGAGCAGACGTTGAGCCTCCTTCACAACCAACAAGGATGCAGGAAGTGGTTTCTGCATAGTAAGACAACAACAAAAAACCAGCTGACCAAACATGCTGCAGCACAGCTTTGGTTGCTAGGTAACAGCACAGTTTCTGTCAATAAAAACTCAACATTCAACATGTTTTTGATTTAAAAAAAAAAACATGAATTTATAACCACATAAATGTCTGGGTGATAATTGTTTCTAGAAGCAGTTGAAACCCAAATGGAAATATGAAGACGTGCAACATATGAACAGTTCCAGTCGTTTCTGGATGTACATGGATTACATGTCACTTATGAGCCGGGAATGTTTTGGGATCACCAAGATGAATGCAAAACAATAAGTGGGTGGATGATTTATCCATCCACAGTTGCAGCTTGAAGAGGAGGCTGAACCCATGAAAACATCAGAGCCTTATTTGGTCTGAAAAGTGAAAAGTTAAATTTACCTCCGGTAATTTGCTCCAGTTGAAGGACTTCAGTGGGCTGGACGGTTGGGGGATGTTTTTCTTCTTCTCTGGAACCCCTAAAGTAAGTCCTGGGGCAGGAGGAGGAGGAGGCGGTGGAGGTGCTCCAGGAGGAGGCGGTGGTGGAGGAGGAGCAGAACCAGGAGATGTGGGGAGTGAAACAGGTGAAACTAACCCACCAGGGGTGATTGGAGGTCCTCCTGGGATGCTTGAGCTCTAGAACGAGAGAAGAGCTTCTTCAGAGCCACAATATGAAGAATCGGAACAGAATATTCAGAGACTGAGATTTTAATGGTTGAGCTTACAGAGCTGAGCTGTTGCAGTCGAGCGTTCAGCTCCTCCACTTGTAGCTTGGTTCGTTTGTGCTCGTCGCTCTCTCGCTCCAGCTTGGTTTTCACCTTGTTCAGCATCTCAAACAACTCCTCTTTTTCTTTATTCTTGCTTTCACACTCCCTCTCTTTCTTCTCAAGGCGCTGCTGCAGCTTCTGATGCTCTGAGAAGGTGACACATCGTTTATTCTTCTGACATCCACTGAGACTCGCAGGTTAAACGTGGAGAAATGTTTGTTTTACCTTTTCGCATTTCATCCATTTCTTCTTTCCACCGTTTCATCTCGTTTTCTTTCACCAGCCTGTTAAAGCGCAAAAACACAAGTTCAGGTTGTTAATTCACCTGTGATGGAATTCTGGTATTTAGCAGAAAGTCATCAGTACTGAACTCTGTAGGCAATGCACAACACCACATTAAGGCCAATGTAAATGAAAAAAATTAGTAAAATCCACCAAAACTGAAAAAAAAATATTTTTATCTTAGAAATTTCCTTAAAAAAATAAGATCCAAAAGTCAAAAATTTGCAAGAAAAAAATAAATTTTGAGATTAATCTAAAAGAAGAAACTTCTGAGATTTCTGAGTTTCACCATTTTTAAAATATTTTTCAAACAAATTCCTAGAAACAACAATTTCATAAACATGCGCTAGCAGAATGTATGCAAGACATTCGTGTGCACTGTGCTGTCAGCTTCTCTGCATAAATACATATAATTTATAAGATTTTATTCATATATTCGACCTGAAATTTCAAACCTAAAGTTCTTAGGAAGTTCTTCGTTTTTCAACATTTTTTCCTGCTTGAATGTCTGAACTCACATGCTCAGAACATTCTTCACGTTGAAATCCCCCAGCGGTGCCACATCTGGATCTTCGCCTTTGTCTGTCTGCAGAACCAGCTGCTGAATGATCCGGTCCAACAGCACCCAATACTGAACCGACATCCTGCTGTTATTATCTGCACACAGAACCGAGTAAAACGTTTAGATTAATGTTGCTCTTAGCTGAGGAGATAGAACAACATAACAATGTGAGAGTTTTACAAGGCATGATGAGGCAGTGCTGCAGAGCGGACAGGAAATGAGGGTAAGCTTCAGTGTGGCTCAGTTTACTCTTGATCACGTCAAACATCTGGCTCGCACTCTTAGTGTCGATGTGGGTCTGAGGAGCAGCAGAGAGCATCAGGTTATCAAGACGGTTTCCAATCTGAACCGTCGAAATGTGGGAGTTACTTACAGTTTTAAAGCGTTTAGCAATCAGAGCTTCATCTTCAGTCCTGCACATCTCAAAAAAGTCTATGTGCCTGAAAAGAAGCAGATTAAGTCCAAAGAGCAAACACTGACTCAGTGTGCAGGGCGAACACCTGACCTACCTGTCCAGGGTGCTGTTCTCACGGGACCGAAGCTTATCGAGGATTGGTTGGATGCCCAACATCAGGAACTCGTATCGCAGATGGATCCGGAAGTTCAGACTGCTCTGAGGTCAGATTTAACAGAAGACATGAAGGAGACGAATCGATCAAAGAAGAGACAAAGAAAAACTTTGCTTACCTCTCCTGCTCCCTGACTGAGAACAGCGTTGATGAAGGACATGATGGTCGTCTTCAGGCTGACGTCGTCACCGTGGCGACCTGTGGACCGGTCCAAGTCGATCATCAGGTTCTGCACACAGGAAACATGTTATGCTTAAGAATAAGAAAAACAAGGGTATGGAAAGGAAACTATGGATTGAGAAAGGTTACACCACCAGATATTTTAAACAAAAAAATGAATCACTAGTTTTCAATATTGATTGATTTGAAATGTTTATTTATTTTATACCTGCCTTGTGTTGGCCTTTCACATAAAATCCCAACAAAATATACTGAAGTTTGAGTGTAAATACTTTTTTTTGTTTGTTTGTTTGAAAGACTCATTTGGGGTTAGTGAGTTTTTATTCTGAATGTTTTGTCAATCCAAAATTATGTGCTTTGGTCTCTGAAATGGACCGAGTGTTTGCATTTCAACATATCCAGGATACCCACCTCTCTTTCAGTGACCTCTGGAGATAGGCACCAACATTATCACAACTGCATGTTTTCCCTTTAAAAGTTAACCATTCACTTCCTGTAACCTTCATTTCGTAGTTTAAATTTGCTCTTAGTCAGTCCTCTGCAGATTCATTAGCACTCTTTGTTTTTGTTAGCATTCAAATTTGTATGTTTTTGCTCAATTTAATAATTAGTGAATAAATATGAGGTTTATTAATAAGTTTAATTCTTGCAAAGAAAAATACTTTGTAGAAAAGGAAAATTATGCTGAACTCCTGGAATCTGGTGCTTTTTTTCAAATGAGACAAAAAGATTGAGGTTTTCAGAAACAACGGTCATGCAATGTTAGGAGACTTTAATGAGATAGACTTCGCCTTAAAAATGCAAATGTGCCATTATCTGATCCGAAACATGTCCAAATCAAGACAAAAACAGTTCACCAGAACCAAAACTCTTTATCATTGCTCTGTCAGCCCAAAGACTTGTCACTATTCAGGTTTTCAAGTTAAAAATCAAAAGTTAGGTTTCCTTTTCCTTCTCCACATTCTAGCAGGGGACCAAACTTTTATTTTCTATTGTATTTGTTCAATGCTTGCGTCATGTGAATGAATGCCTTTGGTTGAATTCCTGTGTATGCCACAGCAGACTGACCAAACAGAAACTGTTCATCCGGGCTCTGAACTTTCAGCTGCAGTTTGTTTAAATATTTTTGTAGATCTGACTTTCATATCTGGTTCCCAGAGATATGAGTAACCAGATATCTGCAGGATATCTGGTTCCCTACACATCCTGATATCAGGATATCAGGATAGCTAGTCTCCTGGTATCCAGATGTCTGTGGGAACCAGATATCGGTGGGATATCTGGTTCCTCACTAGATATCCTAATTTGTGGATATCAAGTGAGTTTCTTGGTAAATTTGGAAATTACCAAAGTTATCAAATCTACTCTGCAGATTAATTTGCAGTAGAAATCTTTAGACCAGTAGAAATCTCTGAAACTGATAAAAACTTCCCATGAGGTAACAGAGTTTTGGTTTCTATATAGTTTGGGTTGGTTAAGAGCCAGAAGGAAAAGCAGACCTGGAAGCGAGTCCTCTCTGAGGCAAACGTCTGGTATTGGACCATGGCATCCAAAACCTTCTTATGGCCTCCTGGGACCATACACATAGCACCGAGGATCTCCAAGACGGCCACCTGAGGAGACGGAGAAAATCAGCCAGACGTCAGACACAAGATCAGCTTTTTAAAGGTCAACCTTTATGCTTCCTTGAACAAGTTAGAATAGGTCTATGGACTTTACAAAACATGTTCATTACATTTTTTGCACAAAATCATTCTTATACAATTACATTTGAATCTGCGTCTTGTCACTTTAAATCCAAATAAGCTGCTGATGACTCAACGTTTACACTCATACGTGAAAATATCTGCAAATCCATGTGCAATTATACAATCATACATCTTTGAAAAGCAGAAGTAGAACCTCATGCGCAACCGGTAAGAATGCAGCAAGTGGCTTCTGGATGGTAAGTCAACAACAAAACCGGCAGCCATTGTACAGAGGTAAAACCAGCTGACCAAATGTGCTGGAGCTCCACTTGCGTTGCCAGGTGATTGAATGAACTCCAGTTGGGGTGTTAGATAACGGGCTTTGCTTCTCTGGGGTTGCTAGGTGATGGGCAGGTGCCTGCTGATTTCTGACATTACATTTAGAAGGATAAAATCCTTTGTCCAGACGCTACATAACATTAACTTATTGCCTAAAAAGATAACTGGGTATTTTTTAAGAATTTGTTTTTTTTTTTAAATGCAGTAGAAACACAAACAGAAGTAGAAAAATGTGCAAAACAAATGGTAACTAGCCATTTACATGCATGTTTTTCTCATTCCCCCTCCAGCTGGCCTGATGAAGTAAAACTTGCATCTGACTCTCATGTTTATACTGGCAAATTTATTCTAAAAACAAACTCTGACAGCATAGCTGAAATTCCCACAGAGGTTTTGGGTCTGGAAATCTATCAGTCAGTATAATTTATTTTACAGGTTTGGTCAGTTTGATGTTTAGGTGAGGAAGGGAGGGGCCAGATGCTGTCCTGAGTCTGTGTTTAGTGTGTAGATATTCAGTGAGCAACAGGAAATTACAGGGTTCAAACTATGTGTACATGCCTACAGCAGCAGCGATGGGGTAGATTTTACGTCATCCTCTCCAACATGGCTTTAGGTGTTTGTCAGTGAATTTATTCCAGAAAATCTAACTTTCTGAACATGTCACAAGGATCTTGGTGAAAAGGAAATGTGAAAAGTGGGTGGAGTGCAGCGTAATACAGGTAAAGCAGGAAGTTCCTCACCTGTCCAGCTTCTGTCTAATGTGGCGCAATCAGACAGCAGCTGGGAGAAAAGACTGAGGGAACTGAACACTTAACTCTATTTATGTCTACTACGTCAATGTGGCAAAAGCACATTGACAAAATAACGTCCTGAACAAATGTTGAAACACACCAGGCATTCTGATCTCTAACAGCGTTGGAGCTCACGATTATTTCAGTAACTGATTAATCTATCATTTTTTTCCTGATGATTAATCGATTAATTGTTTTGTCTCTAATTTCTAATCTTTTCAGCATGTTTATGTTTAAAAGGCTGTAAGCAGCATCCATACACCTTGGTTTTGATGTTTTCCGCAACTAGGCTTTGAGCGACGATGTTGATGCTCTCTGGATGTTCCAGGACATGAGTTCTGCCCTCAGAGCTGTTCATCAGGGCCTTGATGCAGCCGATCAGAGACGTGTGGATCTGGGATTCAACCGTATTGTAGTCCATGGACTTGAGGAAGTTAAGGATGCAGGAGAGCCCATCCTGATCGAGGAAGCCGGTCACAAAACTGCAGAAGGTCAGAGAAGTTAGTTAATCGGAAATTCTCTGGAGGTCGGAGAGACGTTGATTCCTTTGAGTGAGAAGGTGAACCTTATGGGCTCAGTCCGCAGCGCTGTTTTCAGACCATTAACCTGTTTCAGCCTGACTTGCTCTTCTTCTTCCGATGCCACCACAGGCTTCATCTGAGAAAGCAGGACTCACATCAACACAACCCCTCAGTGTTTCAAACAGTTCAGCAAAGTTAATTTTACATCCTTCTTTTGGTGGTAGATGGTAGGAAAAATGTCCAGAAATAACTCACAACAGCCATGGAGTTGAGCTGGTTGATGTAATGCTGAGGCCAGCTGGTTGCCCCTTTATCCTCAGCTGCATCCTGAAAACAGACGTTATAAAAACACCACACAGTCTTCAGCATAAACTCTAATGATGTGTTCAAGTTGTACTTGAAGCTGGGAAATTCCAACTTACCAGTCTGAAAAAAAAATCAACTGGAAATGCCCTTCAAAGTCAAATTTCCCACAGGGAAACTGGGAGCAACTCCAACTATCTCCAGTTATGACTTGTAAGGGGAACTTTGTGTTTCAATATGGCCGCTCCTCGCATCAACGGTATTAAGTGGTGGAATCGTGTTTATTTTCCAAAACATGCTTGTAAAAGTGCGTCTAAATATGACATGCAACGCCTGCGACTTTAAACTGAAAAAAATCTAAATTTTACTGATAGAAAATACAGCTTAAAATTGTTTACGAGAGCTTTTGTGTTCAACGTTCATAGATATCACCATGGTGAACTTTTATCTTCGTAATTAATGATGTAACCTCGGGTGTGACATCAAACACAGCTGCATGCCAAGTCACTACAATGCAACACAACACTGGGAACTTAGTTCCCACACTAAACCAGCCATGGTGCCATTTTTAATCAGGCTCTAAATATTTGTAAATATTTATATTACCTTTAGGCTTCTGGTCAAATATTAAAATCCATATATTATTTATTTGTATGTTTGTACATTTTTATTTTTTATATACATATATTTTTGGAACAGTTCTTTTATAGAGTGGAATAATACAGATACAATTTTAATTAATTTCAAAAATATTTTAATATTTAATGTGGATTTTTTTGCAACTCACTTTTAATTATACATCAAATCCATAAATGTATTTAATTATATTACTAAGTGCTGGTAAAGGTGATAGGAAGTGTCTTGACTGGAGAAGACCAATGCCTGCAAACATCTGGATAGTGCTGATGATGGAGTGCATCCAGTTGAAAACAGGATTTGTCTGATGTTTTTTTGTTGGATTGATCAATAATCAGAAAAATATAAGAAATTCAGCAAAGATCTGAAATGGAAAACTCATTGGCACAAGTCGGAATAGTGCTGAGGACTAACTGTGGATGGAGACATTTTGAATTTTATTGCAATTTCTTTTCAACAAAAATTTTAGGACGCTGCTTTGAATAAAAGACACTATATTTCTAAGGTGAAGAAGAGTTGGAAGTATGAAAACTTTTGCCAAACAGTTTCTTTTTGTCACTTCTTATACCTTAGTTCACTGCAGGAAAATATTGGACAGATTTCAGCTGCATTGGATTTCCAATAAAGTCACTTACATTTTTATTGAAACAGTAAATCTCCCACTTCTTTTCTGGTGGCAAAGCAAACATGGCCGCTTTCTTCTGATCTGAGAGGCCCAGTTCATTCTGGAGAAGAAACAGGAAGATTGGTATTAATGTCTGAAGCTGTGATCAGATTTCTGACAGAAACTGTGCTCCTGAACGCACCACCAGTTCAGTAAACAGGGTGTCCAGCTCCTGAGGGGGAGGCATGGGCTCCAAGACCTGCATCTGCACGACATTTTCAGGGAACTTTGATCGATGATCACGTTCTTTGTAGCACCACGGAAACAGAGTGGCAAAGCTCCACCATTGTTGCGGTTTCTCCTCGGACGTCATGGCTGCAACACGTCTAGACTAGAGAGAAAGAAACACGAAGACGACATTAACACCTCGTCTCATCCTGACTCTGACGCTGCACCAAAAACCACTGAAGGAAACGACAGAAAAACCTCAGAAGACGACATGAGTGCAACTTCTTTCTTTAAAAAAAATGTAAACAAAAACAGAGGACTATTAGATTTTAGAGTTTGAAGGATTTATTTTGTCTTTGTTAAAAGACCACAAGCCATTTCTCCCACTTGCATGTTTGCTTTGGTTGCATTTACCCAGAACACCCTGCGCTATCGTCCACTTCTTGCTTTTGGAGTGGTTTCTGGTCATCTTGCTGTTCATACATGCATCTGAACCACACCAGAGTTCACTTTAATCAAACCAAGACCTAGGTTATTTGTAGAACTAGACTTAGTTTTTTTTGTCCACATCAGAGTTCAATTGCACATTCACACCACCCAAACAAACTGGACTCACGTTCAGTTGGGTTCAGTTTGACTCTGGTTGACCTGGTCTCTGACTTTCTAGTTTTCAGTTTGAGTTTTTGCTCATTTGGTCTCAGTTGGACTCTCTTGCTGATCCAGTTCAGTTCTGGATCTGTTGTCAGTTTGACCACCAAATTGTTTCAGTCAGACTCCGAGTCGCCTGGTCTTGGTCTAGTTATGTCTCCAGCTAATCTAAGTCTGCAGAATATTTTTCTGGTTGAATCATAAATAATAATCACCCTGTCATAAATTAAAGTACAATTTTTTGGGACTCTATACTGAATTCATTAATTTAACAGGGCTACACTCAGTGAAGTTAAAGTATTCAGTTGATTTGGATCAACTAAATACCTTCGATGCATGAGTGGACATAGAAAAAAAAGGCATGTAAGTTAGATTTAATCACCTTGTGTTTATCAGGACCTTACCTGCAGTTAAACTGGTGCTAAATACATTTAAAATCAAAATAAACCTAATGAATTTAACTGATTAATTGGCTAAAAAATAAGTTTAGAAGCTGAACAATGTGCCTTCTTGTGATGGAGACCCTGCGAATCCAAAGTTCATGAACTTTGAAACTATTGACTTTCGCTTTGGTCATTGACCGATGTTTTTCAGACCAACACTCAATTTTCACCCTGTGTGAAAACATCAAAAACACATCTGTTTTGCTGTGTCACATTTGAATTAGAAATGCACTGGTTTGTTGATGACATGGTAAAAAACCCCGCTTCAGAATGGTCTCTATTTTTGATTGAGGACATGATGTGCGAGTCTCCTACCTGTGCGATACTCACTTATGTCACAGGGTATGAAGTCATTCTACAGCGGTGATTGGTCCAAATCTTTCCTTTGCTAACAACTTGCCGTCTCCAAGCCAACATGCTGAATAAAACCTCCTAACATGTTCCAAATTATCTGGAAAGTTTTAAAAAATTAATCTGAATCAGGCTTTTAAGGCTTTAACTCTGAGTTAAAGTTAAAATCGTTTCACTCCGCAGGCAAATTGACTCCACCACTGAGCTGATTCACGCCGTTTGTCCAGTTTCACAGAAACCTGCAGAACTGCAGCACCGTCCTCACAGTCACTTCATATTTACCTGATGTCACAGTCGCAGGCTGTACGTGTGATTGTGTGTGTGTGAGAACCTGACTCAGAGCCGCGGCGGGAGTTTGAAACACACACAACTGCATTCCTGCAGCTGCAGTCACACCCAGCCTTGCCTCACCCCTGCAGAGGGCGGAGGGTGAGGCTCGGTGTGCGCTAACGTCTCGCCACCTGATCCTGAAGATTTACCTGCAAATCAGCATCTGAACTGAACATCCTTAACAACAGGTTGAGGTGAAACTTCATTCATAAGAACTGTTTAATCACAACAGTAACTAAAAAAACACTTTTTTTTAATTAAAGCTAAATCAAATCTCATGCTTCTAAAAATAGTTTTATAAAGTGTTGTGTTATGAAGCTTGGTGACATTCCAACAACGTTTATCTGATCCTGCAGGAGGAAAAGTTGCTCTGTCTTCAGGAAGAAGGTCACTCAAATTCACAGTTAAGGATCAGAGCAGAGCCAGTTTTTCCAGGATGAAAACACCAACCTGATGCTGGGCCTTTACTGGCAGAGGCAGAGGTGACCAGTTCAACCAGCAGCTTTCCAGGAGCTAAGCAGGTATCAAACACCAACTGACCTGACTGGACTCATAAATAAAATCCAAAACATACAACAACTCACAAAAGAAAAGTGGAACCATATTATGTAAAATGAAAGATTGATTCATGATTAAAATTCCAAGTTTAAACCTTCCACTTTCACTGTGGAGCCTACAGAGAAAAAAAAAAGTAATATCGGTGGGAGATTTATGAATTAATTCTCTTAGGTCATATTAAAAATCTTTATGAGCTGCAAATATTACATAACTGGTAAAAAAAAGAATTTTGGAAAAATACTGTGAGATGGAACATTTGTTGTCATTAAAAAACAATTGTATTGCTGTAGTTTCTGAATTAATGACAAGAAAAATAAGTCTAAAGGTACATTCAAAAAATTTAGCTCGTTAACTATTGCAAGCTAAATATGCTAACTCCTTATTGCTACATATGTAGCTTTAACAGACTAACTTGAAATTTACTTTTGGTCAGTATTGTTATTGATAAAATAGGACACATTTTATCTTGTAAACTACATCAACTCTTTAATCGACTGGTATTTGGAAGCTGCTCTGTGAGAAAGAACATATTTTTCCGAGTTTTCCATGTCAAAGTGATGCAACTCAACTGCCAAATATGGAAAGAAAGAACCGTTCCTGGTTAGCATGTTGTCCTGCTGGGCTAATATTTGCTGTGAAGTGCAACTTCAACACTGATTTAATGTTTTTTTAAAATTAATTTATTCTGGTAGATAAATACATCTGTTCTATCAAATCAACAATATTTGGCCAATAGCATCACCCTGCGATTAAATCCTACTTTGCTCAGACTCATAGTTTGAAGTTTGGGACTTGAAACTTGAAAAAAATATCAGTGTTGTGTTTGATAAAATCCTTAAAATATGACAGATTGGGACAAATGACGCCTTCATTGACCCAGGAAATAATCTTGAATGCCATAAAACTTTCCTTGCACCCATCTCAGTTGTCGCAAAAGGGAGAAGAAGAACTGCTACAAACCTTCAATGTTTGCAGAGAAACTGAGTAGAGACTCTTACAATCTTTTAAAAATCTTTATTGGTAATATTTTAAAGTCACAAATCAATGACAAAAGTTAGTTGTATGAGACAAAACAATGTGTCATAAGAGTCAGTCTTAGTTCATTTTTACTAAAATACTTTCAAATAGTTAAATACTGAATGTTTGTTGTGTCAAAATATGTTTTGAAATGTTTAAAATTCTTCATGCAAAGTAACACTTGTTTCAGCTGAAACGTTGAGGGTCTTTTCCAACACCACAAAAGCAAAACTGGTAACTTTAATTTCAGGCTCCCATTTCAACTCATGAATAATTCAATAATTTGATGCAGTTCCCAAAATTAATTTTTCAAGGGTAAAAATCCAGGAAGTGAACTGGTTTAGTCCACTCTGGAACTATAACCCTTAAATTAAAATTAACCCCAATGACCTTCCTCTTCACATCTGTAGACATTTTTCCTTCATTAACTCTTTTACTTTTCATGTTTTTGATTGTAAGCAAGTTTAATATTTATTTGATCACATTGTTCTTTTTTTGTTTTTAATCTGCAGTCACCAGGAAACCTTTAGATTTCTTTTAGGAAACATTAATTATAAAATAACACAAAACTATCTTTCTTTATGAGTGCATGCTTCAGATGAACAAAAACGGTGTTGATAAATTATGAGATTGATTTGATTTAGGCTAACCAATGAGATTGTTTGTGTTATGGGCACTAAAGTCACTCAAAGCAACTTCAGATGTTTAGTTTTCTGAAGAAACAAGATGGAAAAAAGTCAGTATGTTTGGCAAATTGGAGAGAAGAGAGGTTCAGAGTCCTTTTCCAGATAAATCATGTTCTTAAAATTGTTGTATAAAAGCTGATGAAATCACTGCAAAAGGCCAAAAGTCAAGTTATGAACGGCTCAGATTGTTCTTAAAGCTGCAGTTTGTAACTCTTATGAAAGAAATATGTTTTTTACATATCTGTTAAAACTGTCACCATGTTGTGACAGTTTGTTTAGAAACAGAGAATTTGTGAAAATATTGATAATTATTCTAAAGAAATGCACCACCAAAAACAACCAATCAGAGCCAGGAGGCGGGTGTTAGCACTGTCAATCAACCTCATGAACACGCTAATATTGGAAAAACAACTTACCATTAAAGAAAAACTCTTTATCAGTATCCATGCTAATTAGGATTAATTACTACAGAGAAGAAGCTGTTTTGTAATAAAGAGCAAAGGGGAGTGAGCCTACACTTGTGTGATTGACAGCGCTAAGACCCACCTCCTGGCTCTGATTGGTTGTTTCTAGCTAGCACTATATTAAGTAGAGGAACTTGATTATTTCAGATTATCTGTCTCCTACTATACTGTAACAACACAGTCAAAGTTTCAACTACCTTTCAAAATATATTTTTTTTCTTTTTATATAAACGTTACAGCCTGTAAATTCAAGCCAGAATCTTTCCAACCCGGTCACAGGCTGGTATCGGCTGTCTTTGTCTTCATCTCCCCCCCAGCGTTCGGCAGTGGCGTTGTGTTGTGTTGGGCGTCCCTGCAGAAGAACACGACCGGGTTCTTGCAGGCCCACATGGCCACCTCACCTCCTGCTGCGGTCACTCCCGTTTTTCCCGGGCTAGAACTCGACAGCCGGGTGTTGTTGGGCCCGGCTCGGCTCACGTAGCGGTCCCTGATCCTCTCTGCCTGGTTTAGCCGGACCTCTCGGTTCCGGCCCTGGCTGGACAGGTAGGCGGCAATGTTTCTGGTTCGGTAGCCCTCCTGTCGGCTGCGGCCCAACAGCATGCCGATGTTGGGGTTCCTCAGGGCGTAGATCAGGGGGTTGATGGCGCCGTTGGCCCACGTCATCCAGATGGCGACCGTGTCCATGGCCGGGTTGAACCTGTAGTTCCCGATGGCCGTAACCAGGCCCATCAGGCAGTACGGCCCCCAGCAGCAGATGATGAACACGATCATAATCAGAACCGTGGTGGCTGTTCTCATCTCGCTGTAGAAGCGCAGCAGGTAAGCGTAGGTGGTGACGGGCCGAACCCGGATCTCAGAGAGGCGGACCGTTTTACAAATGTTGTAGTGGCAGAAGCACATGAGGGAGAACGGCAGCAGATAGCACATGACGATCAGGCAGATGCTGTACGCTGTCCCAACACTGGTACCCCCTGGGTGGAAGACATACATGCAGTGGTAGAAACCTCGCTTATGGACTCCTGATGTGGTTCGGACAAGCAGATACCCGGGTAGCGAGAGAACCACCGCCGTTAGCCACACGGCCACCAGCAGCTGGGTGGCTTTCTGGCGCCCGATCTTGGCCTGAGGCTGCCGGACAATGGCGTAGTACCGGTCAAAAGAGATCAGCGTCATGGTGAGCGTAGAGATAATCCCAAAGCAGGTGTTGAAGAAGCCGTTGGCCACGCAGAAGGCATCGCCGAACATCCAGACGCCATCTTTGCTGAAGAGCATGATGAAGGAGAAGGGGAGGCAAAGCACGGCTGTTAGGAAGTCCGACAGTGACAGCGACATGATGAAGGCGTTGGTCACCGTTCGCAGCTGTCTGTGTTTGATGATGACTACGACCACCGCCGAGTTACCCAGACTGGACAGGAGGAAGATGAAGACCAGCACCAGAGCCTGAGCCACGACCCCCACGCCCTGAAGGGCCGAGTTCCCGGCGACCACGGCGCTCAGAACCGCTGCGGTCGACGGCGACTGGACCTCGCCGAAGTCGGTGCCCCTCTGCTCCCGGAGGGCCGAGAGGTTTCCCGACGTTCCCACGACAGCCTGCGTGGTGGCCGTCGTTAGGCCGGTTACTATGGAGACGACCCTGGAGACACATCCATAAGAGATGGAGAAATTAAACAAATACTGATCTCTAACTTCCAGAGACTGGTAAAGTTCCCAAAACCTGTAAGCAAGTAAGAGTAGAACTATTTCAACATATTGATCAACCACTGGATTTCTATGCATCAGTCATACCCTTAATACGTCTGTCTAAAAATGCTATATAGTATATGTATAGCAGTATATTATTTTGCATATTTACGGATTTATATTTTTCTGACCAAGTTTTCTTTACTAAATGCTTTAATAACATATTAATATGGTTTGTGTGCATTTTTCTAAATAAAAAAAAAATAAAAAAATTTGCAACTGATAGGAAATTGAAACTGTTTTGTTTCAGGTAGAGATGGAAAACAACAATATAAAAATAGCAAAATTTCAAAGGGAAATTTTAAACTACAGCACCAATATTATATTCTGATTCTGATATTGATTTGGTACTGATATGATCAATATTTTGAATTGATCTGTGCAAGAGTTTATCCTTCAGATGTGCTAAATTGATAATGACAGACCACAAAGAACATATATTGACTGAAAAAAAACCCAATACATTTTATGCAAAATGTACAATTACGCATTACTTTTGCTGGGTAGTAATGTTTGTGAAATATGAAATAGTTTAGTAATCTGGATTAGGTGATTAAATTATGCAAAACCAGATTTTAAAATCAGTTGGATGTTCTGTTGGATCACCTGGGTTCCACAGGTGAGGCAGTAATACTCTGACCCACAGAGTCGGCTGTGTAGTTGGTTCTGGACTGTAGAGCCATGCTAACAGGTAAATCCATTGGGTTTCTGCAGCCAAACTGGTTCCCATCAGCTCACAGTCAGTTCTGCAGCTACTGATCAATTATTGACATCGGTCCAGGCTCAATCATCATCATCCTCCTCCTGCTGCTGCCGACCTTCGTCTCCTGGCAGCAGCTTCCGGATGGAGAGGTCATGGACTGGCGCTGCGATTGATCCGCAGGAGTCCTCATAAAATATAGATGTCCCCACATTTATAAGCAAATCACACAGAATCCCTCAGAACCGGTTTTCATTCAACTGGTGGCTTCGTGTGGACCCGGTCCAGATGTGTGCTGGAACATCTGCAGAGCAGCTCAGATATTTCAGCAGTCATTTCAGAATGAATCAGAACAAAAACAAAAGAAACAGATCTGGATGAGACCCAAACCAGATTGAGCTGAAGCAAAGATCCTGGATCAGAAGCAGGATCTGCACGAGCCAGAACACCGTTCGATCCTGGAGCAGAACCCCATCAGAACCGCACTCAGCTGTTGAAGCGACCCTCCGGGTTAACATTTCCAATCACCTCCATCGATCCGCTCTCGATCACTTCCTGTGTCCGTCATCTCGCTCCGAGTCCAGCGCGCGCGGACCGGATATTACGCTGCGGGCTCCGTTGTGTTTGGATCAACACAGCGGCTGTCTGTACGCTTTTTGATCAAAATAAATAAACAAATGAAAAAGTAAAAAAAAAACCTAAAACCTCCCCTGAGATCCGCCTGAAGCCACGGTCCCCTCCTGAACGCGCTCGCGGCTTTGTGACGGTTGCCACGGTGACCGCTGATGATGCAGATGCTCCGCAGCAAGTCAGATGGCTGCTGGTTCGTCCCCGGTGCTTACTGGTCCACAAACCAGTTCAGACCCAGTCACGTGATTGCATCGGTCACGTGAGCCGCGCTTCGTCGTGTGAAATTTTAATGAGGTCTGGTTCTCTTTGTGGTTTCCATGGTTACATCAGCTGTTGCACCATCTGGACCAGCAGGGGGCGTGTTCTGTAGGATTCTGAATGGTACCATTTGTTTTGGGTCTTGTTTTGCCCTTTACCTTAGCTATTCATTTCGTTGTTTTGTTTTTTTTTTATTCTCATTCGTGCACAAGTTAAAACTTTTACCAAACATCTATAACCCTTTTATGTTCATCACAGTTGCAGCAGTTTGACTTCACGACAGATACATTAGGTTCTCTGTATTTACTTTAACAAGTTGTCACTTTCGTCCTCCAAAGCAAACGGCCCCCAATGAGAAGTTGGCAGCAGTTAGTTGAAATTAATCAAATTAAACATAGCCAACATGAATAAAATTAATGACAGCAGTTAAAAACGTATACAAAACACAGCAAAACTGAACTCACAAAACACTGTATATTATTAAATGTGTGTAAAATAAGTTAAAATACTTATAAATCAGTTTCAGAAAGCAACGGAAAAAAGGGGGAGGAGCTGTCAGTTACTACGGTAACTGTCGGTTGCTATGGTAACCACCAACCGTCAAGGCGAGAAACAAGTTGACTGAACAAAACTAATCAGGAAAAACTTCCCATCTCTAATATAGTTAAAATAAAACCCCATCACACACCCGTTCATCAAAATCAGAGCTTCAAACTAAAAAGTACTTCGTTACTGAACTTGAGTAGATTTTTTTTTTCAGGTTTCTGTACCGAGTATTTATCTTTCTGACGACTTTTTACTTTGACTTCCTGCATTAAGAGAAACGTCTTTACTTTTCGCTCCTTAAATTTTCAGATATCCCTCGTTTTATTTGACGCACAAATTAATGACGTGGACTAAAAAAAAATAATTGTTAAAAACCGAACGCCCAAAAGTGTAATAAATCAAAATCCTTCACTTTTCCTAAATTCCTCCAACGTAGATACCCTGCCACATATGAACTAAGATGTATTGTTTAATTTTCTCCACAATACTAACAATTTTCTGCATTATTTCTGAATGAGCCGTTAAGTGCAAATCTAAATATTGCCAATAGTTTCTCTTGAATCCTATACCACATTCCTGTTATCTTCATCCCATTCTTTCTGACACTTTCCCTCAATATTTGCTCAATTATGCTTTTTTTTCTGATTTGGTTGTACTTACTGTGACTTGTCCTGTTGCCTTTTGCCGTTTTCATTCTCTTAATTCCAATATGTACTGGAACCCAAAATAAATGCAACTGCTAATGTATCCTAAATGAAATCAGTTCTACTATTTGAATGACTTAGACTGGTTAGCGCTCAACAGACAATATGCGGCATCAAGCGTTTCTTCGTCGTTTTCTCTAGGTTCCCGATTGTAGTCTACTGCCCCCTATCTTTGTGGAGGATACTGCAACACTGCGCGTCGAGTATAAATGCAACAGTCAAAGAAGCGCTCCTCGAACCACCTTCAATCTGGACTTTGCAGGGGTCAGAAATCACTCAGCAACAAGACAGAATGGATCGACTTTATTACAAACACTTTTTATGGTTCCAAGATTTGCAAACTTGAAATTAAATTAATTCATGTGAAAATTAAAGTTGTCCCCAATGTTCATCTTCAAGGTTTAACTGTTAAACTTCATCTACCAATGTTTGTCATGTTCAATGTTACATTTATCATATTACCCAGAATATTTAAGGTTGTTCCCAATTTTTTTATTTAATCTCCAATGACACATCTTTGGAACCATGACAGACGAAGGCAGGGCAATCAGGAGGAACGAATGAAGGTACCCAGGTTGACCACAGAAACCAGGGTGGATTAAGAGAACCAGAGTCGATTCAAACGTAGTCTGAAAGCAGCTTCTAATCAGGAAGGCTGAGTTAACTCCACATTTTCATGATTGTATCTGGGATATTTAATGTCCCAATTGCCAAACATCTCTGGAAAAGTTTTGTTGCATTAAACACAGGAGATAAAGTTAAACATCCCAGATGCAATAAACATCAGCAATAACCTTAATCAATAGCAACATTTGAGATAAAAATTACAAACGAGGAATAATATTAAATATCTTGTAAAACATTAAACAGTGGTACTCTGGATAACATTGCCAATATTTAATGTCCCTTTTTCAGTCTCATCTCAAAAGAATCTTCATATCAAAGTTCAACATTCACAACTAAACTTCAAGGAGTTTATGGTTTTATTCATTTTTATTTGAGATTGTGAGAACATTCCTTTAAAGGAAGCAACATCTTCATATCTCCCAAGACCTGAAGGGAACCAAGACGATGGCCGGACAAAGGGAGGGCGAACCAGGACGATGGCCGGACAAAGGGAGGGCGAACCAGGACGATGGCCGGACAAAGGGAGGGCGAACCAGGGTGAAGGCAGGGAACCAGGACAGACGAAGGCAGGGCAACCAGGAGGAACGAATGAAGGGACCCAGGTTGACCACAGAAACCAGGGCGGATTAAGGGAACCAGGGTCGATTCAGACAACTCCACATTTTCATCTCTGATCTTCCCAGTAGAAGCTTGCTCTTCCAGCCTCCATCAGCTCAGTGTGACAAATTTAGTCAAACTGAACAGGTGAAACCATTTTTTAGGTTGTTTGATCTCAAATCTTTCCCCAGAAGTGGCACCTCAGATGAGCGAGTTGTAGTGATTCACCAGTGACCCGTTCAGCTCATGATTGATGGTTCTGGAGTCTGATTGCATCAAGCTGCTGTAGGAAACATGATGAAACTCTCCCTCTGCTCACAGAACAGAATAATAAATTTGAAAAGAGAAAAAAAAAAATCCAATTATTTTTGGATTTTTTTACTGTTACTCTTTGCAACAGTAGACTATTGCAAAGACTGAAAATAAAAACCCAACTCTGGGTGAAGAAACAGCTGAGTGGAGGACAAGAGGGAAGAAATGCCTTTTCAGGTCCTAACAGGAAATAAAACACTGATAACCGAGTAACTCAAAAGGTATTTACAGCCAGAGGTTAGCTTCTCACAATAAATCGATTAATCACATGATAATTAAAACAAGCTCAATAACTTACATGATTTTTCCTCTTCTCCCTCTACCAAAATCTGAAAGACAAAATTCTTCCCTTATTCATTTTAGATATTCAAAATGTCTCCAGTTCCAGTGTTGAATGTTCTAGAATTGAAATTTTAGCAATCAGGAGTCTTCTTGCATTACTTGAAAACGGTCTCAAATCAATCATTTATCACAATAACTTCAGATAAATTTATATGCAAGTTGGATTTCAAGTTTACAGATTTTTGACCAAGTTTGCTTACTCTGACAATTTATTGTCCAGTAAAATTTACCATGACAGTCCTAACAAACAGAAAACACCAACTTGAAAACATTTGAAATATCCTAAACAAATGTGGCCTTAGATACAGCTTTGGTTATGTGTGGAGAACCTTAAATTCTCTTTACCAGATCACAGATAATTTTGTAAAAATTACCAGAGGCACTGTTGCAAATTAAACAGTTTATTGAGCTCACAAAAAAATAGTCAATTCATTTTATTGTACAACATTGACCACACCAAAACCAGAAGTCTATGCTGGCCCTGGAAACCTTACAGCTGAAAACCATAGTTAAAATCCAATTAAATAAAGTTTGACTGCTTGGCAGAGGAATAATAAAATCCAATTAAATATACAAATGTAACTAAGTGCACCTGAGTGTTCCCAAACAAAATAACACTCAAAAAAAATCCCTGGTGAATAAAGCAAAGTAAAGAAAAACTCCCCTTCCACTCGTCTCCTCAATCTAGATAAAACAGCTTGGAACCCAGGGACAACAGAGGACATTTTGTTTTACAAACAAGCCAGAGGGCTGGACAATAAAACTGTCCTTCCCTAGATAAAAAAATAAAGTAAATGCTGTGATCGATAACTATCCAGAAAAGAAATTATAAACTACTACAACACTGAAATTGAAACAAAACTGAAACAGTAGCAGGCCAACCTACACAAAAGAGTTAGACAAGCACCTTGTAACCCAATAATAGCTGCCTTTACTTTCTCTAAAGTGAAACAGTTAACGACACTCTGCACATCTCTCTAGAACCAAGTTACCTGCAACAATCAAGTGGAGGCATCAGATATAATTCAATCCCGCCTCACGCTTAACGTTAAACATAGCTCTGGATGAATCATCAGCCTGGGCTGTGATCCCCTCAGCGATCTACCGGCTTTTAAATGTAAATGCCGATTACCTGTCTCCCTAATAAACCAGCTGTAATCCAACACAGCATCTTCCTTATATCGGCAAGAGGAAGCATGCGCAGCACCACACTTCAGGGACAAGATGCCCCGGTGACGACAAAATTAATAATGTCTCAAAACAAAACTGAAACAAAAAAAAAAAAAAAATAAAAAAAAAAAGCAAGATCAGATTCCATAAAGACTTGTTTAAATCAGGAAAAAAATAAAATAAAACTTAATTTCCATTTGCATAATTTTTCAAGCTCCTTAATTTATCAAGCAATTCATTTGTTGATTATTGCAACAGACCAATCATAAGTACCTTACCTGCTCACATGGGAACATTCCCTCAAAAAAAGCTGCAGAGCATGGCTGAAGGGTCATGAAGGCCATTCATCAGCATCTCACTGCGTTCTTGGGTTAAAGAAAAATCCCTATTTAAAATAAAGCGATCTTAGCCTGGTAGCCCACCAGGTCAGTAACTCAGTGAAAAATCCTGATTCTGTCAATATTTCTAAATGGGCTCTGGGCTGCTCTTGGTCCGATCCCTCACCTAGGAGCCGTCTGCCCTGGTGGACCCGACCCAAGCACAGGCATGAAGCCTCAGACGGCTTCTGGGATCACTGGGACACACAAACCCCTCCACCACGATAAGGTGGCAGCCCAAGGAGGGGAAAAAAATAAGTTACAAAGTTTTATGAACAATGAGTAGCAAAATCTAACCCGTCTATATGAACAGTAGTTGTACAAAACGGTTAACTTTTTGTTCTCAGTTACTTTTCTTTCCATAGAAGCTACACTTGGTTGGTGTTATTGGCTGTGGTCCCTTCCTGGAGGAGCGCATTGATTGACATGATGCTGCCATCACCCAACCGGTCTCCCTCTCCTGCTGTTAACTTGTCACTTCCATGAACATAGAAAGTTCTCCTGATCAGGTGACCCACTGCGTCTCTGCTCAGTCTTCTCTCAGCTCCTTTCAGTCGTGGCAGATGGCTGCTGGTACTGAGCCCAGTTCTGGTTCTGATGGATGTTTCTTCCTGTTAGAGGGGAGTTTTTCTCCCCCGTCACTTCATGCATGGTCTGTGTGAGGGATTACTGTAAAGTCAACAACCTTAACACAAGCCATTTGCTGTTGCCCCCTGCTGGTCAGGAGTGAATGCTGCAAGTCAATGACTCCATGCAATCTGATGGGTTTCCTTTGGTACAAAGCATTTAAACTACTTTAACTGAAAATAATGTATTTATAAGTAGGACCAATTGGAATCTGACTGAATTGAAATGATTTTATTAAATGCCTTGACAACAACACTGTTGTGAATTTTTTGGTATGAAGTTTTGGAGTTGGTTGTTGGGGTTTTGGAGTTGGTTGTTGGGGTTTTGGAGTTGGTTGTTGGGGTTTTGAGTTGGTTGTTGGGGTTTTGAGTTGGTTGTTGGGGTTTTGAGTTGGTTGTTGGGGTTTTGGAGTTGGTTGTTGGGGTTTTGGAGTTGGTTGTTGGGGTTTTGAGTTGGTTGTTGGGGTTTTGAGTTGGTTGTTGGGGTTTTGAGTTGGTTGTTTAAGCGTTCAGTTTTACAGCGAGCCAATTCACAACAAATGTTGCCTCAAAGCACTTTGAAACAATTTTAGTTGAACCACATATTTCACATTACAATAAGCTCAATTACAAAATTAATTCAAATAGTTTATACCAAAAGAAAACCAATCAGATTGCATGGAGTCATTGACTTACAGCACTCAGTCCTCCTGACCAACAGGGGGCAACAGCAACTGACTTGTGTTGAGTTGTTGACTTTACAACAATCCCTCATACAGACCATGCATGAAGTGACAGGGGAGACAAACTCTTTAACAGGAAGAAACATGATCCGTCAGAACCAGAACCGGGCTCAGTACCAGCAGCCATCTGCCACGACTGACGAGAGCTGAGAGAAGACAGAAGAACTTTCTATGTTCATGGAAGTGACAAGTTAATAGCAGGAGAGGGAGACCAGTTAGGTGATGGCAGCATCATGTCAATCATGCGCTCCTCCAGGAAGGGACCACAGCCAATAATAACACCAAATCAAGTGTAGCTTCTATGGAGAGAATAAACAAATAGTTGAAATAAATAATGTGGTGGTCCATAAAAATGCAAAAACACATTCTAACAGACTGATAAACAATGGATTCTAACATTTAACACTGGAAAACATTTTAAATATCCAAAACAAATAAAATGAAGTCTGCAAAGAGTCTATAAACAAAGTTCTCCTTCTGTCCATGGCGATGAAATCCATTTCCATCTGTGGTTGGGGCCTGGTGATGAATGGCAAAATCAGATGAAAAGATGATCCAGGATGATTCCTGAAGGACAACAGGATATAACCCTTTAACTGAATGAAATCAAACTTGCAAAGTTCTTCTAATTTCCAAGTCAAGTTTTGAGTCAAAGTAGATAACAGGATCAGAAAGCATCCGCCTTACCTGCTGTAAAAAAGAAAGGCTGTTGAGGTCAATGGTAGGGTCACTAAGGTCATCCAATGGGGGGTGAAGTCCTCTTCTGTCCGATGTTCAGGAGAATGATGAACTTCTCCGGTTGATGAAGGGTGAAGTCAGATGGAAAAAGATGGTCCAGGAGGATTCCTAAACAGGACAGAGGATTTAATTCAGAAAGAAACTCAGACTTGTAAATGTGATTTGAACAGAAAAATACCTGCAGCATTCCTTGAGAAAAGTTGTTTAGATCAGTGGTAGGCTCACTAAGGTCATCCATCAGCAAGGGTCGGGGGGCCAAGAAGGCCTTTTCCATCTGTCAGAGGGTCGATTAAGACGGGAGAATCCAGGAGAATACCTGAAGGACCACAGGACGCTGCACCTCAGAATAAAATCGTCACTTTTTAAAAACTTCTACTCGTAAATATCACTTCAACAGCATAATACCTCATGGAAGACTGCTCAGCCCTGTGGTGGGGGTCATTAAGGTCATCCATCACCAGAGACGACCTTAATGAGGGGTGAAGAAAGCCTTTTCTGTTCGTTGATGGCATTTTCCGTCCCGTCGTTCTCACGTGTAGTCCGGGGGTGTCATCTGAAGTGATGAAGCATTTTACACACATTTCCAATACTTTGACATAACATGCATTTCAAACATTACCCAAGATCAGAAGTTAATCCAAAATCCATTCCAGTTACCATATTCATGTTCAGAACACATACATTTCATATATCCTACCGTGTTTTTCCTGCGTCTCCAAGATCTGTTCTGATTGCTGTACCCAAAATCAGAACACCTGCATTTTATATAGCCTACCGTGTTTATGCGCCGAGTGAATCCAAAGTCCATTCCAGTTACCATACCAATGATCAGAACAGCCATCTTTCACATACCGATTTTCCTCCGTGTAATGGCTTGACCGCTTTGTTGCACTAGTTTACCAATTTCCTTGAACTCATCCAATGACTTCAAATTCCTGAGGAGTGGCTGCATCAAGAAACAAGCCACATTTTCCAATGTTGGGTTCAAAGTCCAGTACCATGGCGACCATTTTGATATCCACATTTCCCAAAAGTCTGAGACCATCATGTCTGCAGAGTCTCAATAATGGTTGATCAATTTCCATAGCTTCTCAGTCCAAATACCATGTGGCGTCAACAAGACCTTAAATTTCCCAACCATGAACTCAAAACTACTCTCCATCACTGTAGAACACATTTGATATCCAGATTTCCTAAATGTCTGAAGCCATCGCATGTCTGCACAGTCTCCATCTCAACAAAAACGGTTGTTCAGTTTCCATATCTTCAGTCCAGATACCATGCGGTGTTGACAAGGCCTTAAATTCCCCAACCATGAGCTCAAAACTATTCCCCATCACCACAGATTTACTATGGATGCATGTGGAGAGGAAGCTTCCCTTTAACAAGAAGAGTTCCCAAAAACAAAAAAAATTTAGTTATCAAATATTTGTGAAAAGCTGGGATTTAAAGCAAAGCCCCTCACTGAGGCACCATGTGGCAACAGTGAAAAATAAAAACTTCCCTTTTAATTTTTTTTCCAAGAATATAAATACTTTAATTGTTGAAATTAGTTAAAAGCTACAAAATTAAGCTTAGACAATGCCTTAGACTGAACATGCATGTAGTACAGTGTATAGGACAACCTTCCCTTTAACAGGAAGACTTTCTAGAAAAAAATAAAATAAAAAATTAAACAGTTTTCAAACAGTTAAGTTACCTAAACTTGAGCAATGCCTCATATTGAGGCTCAATGAGGTGACAGTTAAGGAAAACCTTCCCTTTAACAGGAAGACTTTCCAAAGAAAAACCCAAAACTGCACCAGTAGTTTACATTGGTTAATCAAATAGACTAAAGCAAAATCAGCTAAATCCTCATATTGAGGATTCCTGTGGTAACACTGGAGAAAAAAAAAACCCACAAAAAAAACCCCCAAAGAGCTTCCCTTTAACAGGAAGACTTTCCAAAGAAAAACCCAAAACTGCACCAGTAGTTTACATTGGTTAATCAAATAGACTAAAGCAAAATCAGCTAAATCCTCATATTGAGGATTTCTGTGGTAACACTGGAGAAAAAAAAAAAAAACACAAAAAAAAACCCCAAAGAGCTTCCCTTTAACAGGAAGACTTTCCAAAAATAAACCGGTTAAGTTACCTAAACCTCATATTGAGGATTCTTGTGACAATTAAAGAAAAGCTTCCCTTTAACAAGAAGACTTTCCAAAAATTAACACTGCACCAATTGTTTAAAAGTAGAGTAAGCTTAAGCAATGCCTCATATTCAGGAACAATGTGGTGACAGTGAAGGAAAAACTTCCCTTTAACAGAAAGACTTTCCAAAAATTAAACAGTACCAATTAATTTAATTTTTTAGAGTAGAGTAAGCTTAAGCAATTATTCATATTGTGGATCCATGTAATTACAGTGAAGGAAAAACTTCCCTTTAACAGGAAGTATTTCCAAAGATTAACGCTGCATCAATTATTTAAAAGCTGAGTAAGCTAAAGAAATTCCTCAGACTGAGGAAGCATGTAGTGACAGTAGAGAGGAAATGCTTCCTTTTAACAGGAAGAACACTCCAGCAGAACAAGAAGTTGGCTTTGAAAGAAAGGCCATCTGTCACTACCCCCGGGGAATTTGAAAAGAAAGAAGAGAGACAGAAAAAGAAAGAATTGCTCCAGGAGTATTGCTAAAGGAGAAAAAAATTAGTAGCAGTAGAAGCTCCTTCGGTGGCTTTATCTAAGAGAAATAGTTTAGTGAAACAAAAAGTCAGCCAGCAGCTTAGTCTAGGAGATAAACTTGGTTAAAAAAACAAAAACGGACTTAAACACTGAAAGACAGGTGCCACTGGATCATCTAAGAAAAACATGGAGTTAATTTCAGCTGACAACCTGCAAATAAGATCAGTTAGTGTAAACATTAACTCTGACTTCTGATCTTCAGCGCCAGATGATCTCTCCATTGACTGTCGTCCTTAAGAAATGAAATTGCAGAGTCCTCTTGCAGAAGAAATGAAATTGCCGAGTCCTCTTGCAGAAGAAATGAAATTGCCGAGTCCTCTTGCAGAAGAAATGAAATTGCCGAGTCCTCTTGCAGAAGAAATGAAATTGCCGAGTCCTCTTGCAGAAGAAATGAAATTGCCGAGTCCTCTTCCAGAAGAAATTAAATTGCACAAGGAATCTTCTTGGCGCAAAACTAAACTTTTCACTTTATAATTTAAGTTGAACGTAAATAAAATTTGTTTGAGTTATTGAATGATTAAAGTATGGACATCGTCTTCATTTCAAATTGAGATACAAAAAAAAATAAAAGGTATGCATGTTCAAATGGAAAAGACTATTTTCACCCAAATAAAGGCTTATTATGGTGATATTTGGTATGCCTAAGTTGAATGACTTGATTCTAAACTGGAATTGCCAAATACTTGGCAGCTATCTCTAAAGCCCTCCAAAAACTCAAGGATTGCAACAGCAGAATCCTTCTAAGCTCATTGACCCACAGCGGAGTCATACCATAAGGCCGTTAGCCTTCAACAGCACAGCAAAACCCACAACAGCTCCTACCCTGAGATGTCTTCTGGACCCGCCATTGGAACAGTTCTTGACAGATTTAACAAACCTTTGACGGGTTGGGCGGATCCGCCAGGCACCTTGTAGCGATTCCTCAGCTTGACGGAAGCGATCCTCAGCTTCAGTGAAGAGAATCCTCAACTTGATTGAATTAAATTCATAATCGATCAACAATCCTTAGCTTGATTGTAGTACATCCATAAATCAACTGCCAGCAATCCTCACCTTGATTGAAGTAAATCCATAATCGATCTGCTGCTAGCCGTCCTCAGCTTGATTGTAGTACGTCCATAATCGACCTGCTGCTGGTTCCAAACGCCATTTTTGCCTCATTTCAGGGACGCCAGCAGCCACACAAACATGGCGCCGAGACGCCATGGCGGTGTCGCTCCTCTTCTGCTGTTGTTGCTCTATTTTAACACAAAAAAATGGCTTCAATAACTTAAGAAAAACAAACAACTTCGAATGATGTTTCCGACAAATAACTTACCGGAAAGCAAAGGCGGCTATTTGGACTATGGCGTTCCTGCGGCCTGCTCTCCAGCTCAGCGGGTCGGTGTCAAATGACAGCCGCGTCAACGCGAAGATTTTGCGGTAGATCTGCAAACGTTTCTCATCATTTAGGCTGGGCGTAGATTCGGCGTTTTAAGAGATCATAAAAGAAAGTTTTTTTTTCTTAATCCGGCTTCCAGAGGGAATGAATAGCAGAAAGCTGATTCAACGTCTCCGTGCGGCCAGGTGCGAGCCGGATCTTTAATTGAAACGTTCACGTGAAAGCTGCTCCATATTTGTATTCAGAATGGCGCATGCGCCTTACGCTCATGAAAAAAAAAAAAAACATGGCGCCGATGCAAATTATGAACTTGGAAAAAACGATAAAATTTCTCAGTACTTTTCATCCTCTGATCTGGATGTTGCTTCTCAATTCCAGTCCTCCGGCCCCCCTGCTCTGAACGTTTCAGATGCGCCTCTATTCCAGAACAGCTGATTCAAATGATTGCATGACCACAAAGTACTGCAGAAGCCTGTTAATCACCCACTGATTCAATCCAGGTGTGTGGCAGAAGTGAAACACCTGAAACATGCAGGTCGAACGGGGATGGCTTCTGTTTTTTTTTTTAATAGAAACAAAATGTGAGTGGCACATTTGATTCAGAAACACCAATTTGGATAGGAATTTTGAAAAGTAAAAAAAAAAAACCCACAAGTTTACATCAGACTAGCTTCATTGAGTTATTCCGATGTACAAAATATGTGTCAATTTTAGTACTAACGGTGTATCTGCAAATAAAACCAACCAATACGACCCAAAATGTTCTCAAAATGAACTTAAACATGCCTTACCTTTGCTCTACTGAGGTAAAAATGTAAAAGGTTGAAACGCTAAACGTTTTTTATGTACAAATTTCTATTGTAAATAATAATAATTGCATTAGTTATTTTAAGGGTTTAAATCAAAATTCAAGTCAAATTCAAAAATACTTTATTGATACTAAAATGACATTAAGAATACTGACAAGAGTTTCCAATCATCTTTTAACATTTGTATGAATTTATTTTGTTATTTATCCGTTTGTTAGGAACTGAATGTGTTTTCAGTGTCACAACAATAAAGCTATTGTTGTTATTTGTTATAACAAAAAAAAAAACTGTAAAATTTCAACATCTCGATTTTAGTTTCAGGCTTTATAGATTTTTACTGATAAACCAAGTTCATCCAAACTGGATTTTGGAAATCGAGAGAAGGCGATGTTACTCCTGTCCAGATGGGGGCGCTACAGATCCTTCAAGTCGGCTGGAAACAGCAGCAGGCGGAAGTAGGTCGAAGTGTATCAACAGAACCACATTCGCCTGGATTTTTCCCTTTAATTAAATCCTGTTGGATTCTTGTTTGCGCGATGAGTTCGGGTGAGTTTGAGTTTCATTTCCTCTGATCAGCAGTGACGGAACCGGAGCTCCTCGCTCTACTATTTGGACCGTTTAAGGATCAATACTCAGTTAGCATCATCCAAACTTGCTAACCAGAACCAGTATTTGCCATTCGAACAAACGGGCCCTCGGTATGCTGTTCTGGACTTTCTGCTTTATATCTATTTGGGTCTAAATTTATAAAGGAAGAAATACCAAAAAAATCGTTTAATTTATCCGGATCAGGAACCGAAGGACTGGTAAAATATTAACTGCAGTGACGTCACGCACTGCAGAACAGAGCTGCACTTTAAAAGAATCCAAATGAAGTTTGTTTATAAAGCACAAATCTTTGTACCGCAAAACTCGAGGCCCGGGGGCCAAATATGGCCCGCCATTAATAGGCTAGATTGACACATAAACAGAGCCTTCAGGAAAGCAGATTTGTGCCTAAATATCATTTTACAAATCGAATAAAAATAGCCTTGATGAGCTACAAATTAATTTAAAACGATTTTCAATATTATTTAACTTTAAGTAATCATTAAACGCAGACAATATATGATAATATTGTTGTTTTAAGACCATTTTCATGTAATATTATAATTATGAGGCCATTATCTGGAAGACTTGTCCAAAACAAATAAACAGAACAACAGAAACAACAAATAAAATTAATTTTGTCTCTGTACAAAATTGTCCTTCAGAAAATGGGCCAGTTGAGCCCAGAGTGAAAAATTTTATCATCCAGTTGTTGGTGAACAACAATAAATCACGAAAATTAGTGAGCTCAGTTTAATTTACCATGTGATTAATTAATTTATTGCTTATTGGAACAGATGTTCTTGTCAATCTTTCAGGATTTTATGTCGGTCACATTTCTTCCTTGAAGACAGAGTTTAGTATTTTCTGCAACCTCCTTCGAGGTTTTTTCTGTTTGATTTGTGTCTTTTGAAATATTGGTTTGAAAAACGAGAAGCTACTCTTTTGCATCAGTTGGGACTGAGTAACTTGCTAGCTGAAAAGAAATCACCCATGCCTTACTTATCCAGTAGTAAGTAGGCTTTTTGCTTAATTAAATCTGGGGGAAACTTTTTGTTTCCTCCAGATTAAACAGCAGCACATTTTGGCCAGTAGGGGGAGACAATGAGTTGAAATTTAAAAAATAAAAGAGTGTAACCAGCTTCACTTGGGAACCGCAGCATGTTTGACTGTGCTTGTTTGTGTCGTAGGTGTGGCTATGAGCTCCACATGCCCCGGTCTGTACTGCGGTCGGATCATGGTGAATGGGACGGTGGAGGGAGAGTGTGGAGTGAGTACCTAACACCAGCTTTCATGTTTCCAGTCTGAACTGGGTCTGGACCTCTGAGGCTGGGACAGTCTGTTCTTCCTCACTAACAAACAAACCAAATAATCGCCATTGTTTTCTGAGACATTTGTTTTGTCTTTGTGTTTTATTTTTACGATTTTCCCGTGCAGATTTGTTTGTGTGAATGTTTACCCATTAGTCCTGTTGGGAAACGCGTTAATGTGGCTCTAACTCCCAACAGACAGACAGAGTGGGAATTGTTTTTGCTGCCTGTGGTGAAGCCTCATTACACTCGAATTAGAGCTGCATCCTCAGCAGTTTCATTGTTGTCTCTGAAGGTCCAAACCCGGCGGCTCATTTTATTGAAAACTCTAAACATGAACATACGTGCTTCCTAAAGAAAAACCAGTAGGAGTTTGAGTTTGAACGCCTGCTTCACCCTAATCTCCTCATTCTACCTGTGTAAATTCCTAACAAGAAAGTATTTAATAAAACCAATCAAATAATTGCAGAAAAACCTACAGATTAAAAAAATATATTAGACTTTCTGATCTTTCTCTGGTTTCATGAGGTACAAACAGCTTTTTTCTTAAATTGTGATCATTTCTGTCGGGAGGTTTGCCCTCGAGGAGAGCGGGCCAACATTGAGAAGGTCTGCCAGCGCTGCACAGAGTGTCCTGAGCTCTACGACTGGCTCTACCTGGGCTTCATGGCCATGCTGCCGCTGGTGTTGCACTGGTTCTTCATCGAATGGTATTCTGGGAAGAAGAGGTGGGACTGGACAAAGCACAAACCCAAAACCCATTACTGCAGATCAAGTTTCCATTTTTGTGTCTTGTTGAACTAAATTAGTGTTGTTGTGGACAATTCCTGGAGACTGATGATGCAGTAAGAAAATATCCTAAAATAGATTCTCTTTCTGGTGTGTTTGCAGCTCAAGCGCTCTGCTGCAGCACGTCACCGCCATGTTGGAGTGCAGCGTGTCGGCTGTGGTCACTCTGCTGCTCACTGAACCTGTGGGAAAACTCAGTATCCGGTCCTGTCGGGTCCAGATGCTGTCCGACTGGTACACTATGCTGTACAACCCGAGCCCGGACTACATCAACACGTTACACTGCACACAGGAGGCCGTTTACCCACTGTGAGAACACACATGAAAACACACTGCTGGTTAGAAAAGGCAGATTCATTCATATTCAGTTTTCTCAAACACAAGATCAGCCAGGGTCAGAGTTTGAGTGGTCAGAGTTGATTTGAAGGTTTTTGTTCAATGTGACAAAAGGTTTGCACACCGCTCCTCTGAACCCTCTCAGCTCACCAAACTTGAGGTGTTCCTCAGGGGTTTGGTCTTGATCAATTTCTTCTTCTGTTTTAATGCAAAGTTAGTTTGAGCTTAAAAATCTGTCCTATTAAAATATTGATAATCTCATTCTGAGTTTTAAATCTGTTCATGTTGCTGTTGTTGCTCAGCTACACCATAGTGCTAATCTACTACGCCTTCTGCCTGGTCATGATGATGCTGCTGCGCCCCCTGCTGGTGAAGAAGATTGCGTGTGGCCTTGGGAAGACGGACCGCTTCCGGAGCATCTACGCCGCTCTCTACTTCTTCCCGATCGTCACGGTGCTGCAGGCGGTCGGCGGCGGTCTGCTGTGTGAGTGTTTCACTGTTACACAACAACAACGTCAGCAGGATCTGAAGGTTTAATCGGGTTTCCTGTGTGGTGCAGATTATGCCTTTCCCTACATCATACTGGTCCTGTCTCTGGTCACACTGGCTGTTTACATGTCTGCTTCTGAGATTCAGGTAAGGTCTCACCTGTGCAGGTTAGGGCTGGGTTATCAATGGACTTTTGGTTTGGAGAATCTAAATCTTTTTTTTTAACAAATGCATTCTTTGGGTTTCTATGACAGAGTGCTGGAGTCTCATTAAGAAAATAAAAAATAAATACAATTATGAGAGTAAAATCAGAATGTTATATGCACCCCAACTTTCTTCTTGTAATTTTAGTACTTTATTCTTATAACTTAATTTTTCGATTTTCCTTTCAATGTGGCCTGCATTTTGTTCAACAAGCAGGTTTTACAGCTTCTATTAATTTGGACTTTGAATTGATGTCTACACTATGAATACATATCAGGGCCAGTTTTTCTTTCATTGTGAGAATAAAATCATAATGTTAGTCATGGTAACATAAATAATCAAAATAATGTCAATATTAGCAGAATGCATCATAATATTAAGAGAATTATGAGAACCCCAACACAAAAAATGACAAAAAATTAAAATAAGAAACATTGTAAAATTATATTTTGGTGTCATTCTTACAGGTAGTTAAATACTTAATATTTAAACACATTAGCATCAAATTATTATCAATATTGCAAGGCTCTGAAATAAAAATAAAACTTTTTTTCTCATAATTTTAAGATGTTCTGGTGAAATCGCGTCTTAATTCAGCTGATATTGTGACTATATTCTCGTAAATAAATAAACATTCTTGCAGTCTGGCCCTAATACTCCATTGTATAGTTCACAGAAGGGTTGGTTGAAATAAAAACACTTAGAAAATATTTTCTGTCATTTCTATTTTTTGTAATAGGAAGCTCTTAAATCAGATCTGGCATGATATAAACTGATTCTTTTATTCATTTCAAGTGGTGTTAAAATGGTTCAGCAGCATCAAAAACATGTTTAGATGGTAATAATTGTGTTTTCCCTGCAGTCCCTCCAGTCTCTTATCTCTAAGAAGAAGCGCCTGGTGGTTCTGTTCAGCCACTGGCTGCTCCACGGTTATGGGATCATCTCCATCTGCCTCCTGGATAAGCTGGAGCTGTCGCTGCCGCTGCTCGCTCTGGTTCCAGGACCCACGTTGTTCTACATCGCTACGGCCAAGTTCACAGAGCCCACCCGCATCCTCTCCGAGGGCGGCAGCAGGCACTGAGCGCCACCGCCAGGACTGATTTCCATCCTCGCTGCTCATTTAATGTTTAAACTCCGTCTTAATGTAAATGCTGCTCACATGAACCTGTAAAATATTCACTTCTTATTCTTGTTGGGATTAAATGTTCACAAGTTTCACTGATGTTCCTCCAAATTCTGCTGCTCTTCTCTAAAGTTCCCTGTTTCTGTAAATATGTTTATTTGTAAATATCAGTGTATTTATGTTTGCTGGTTATAATTATACGTTTCACAAAAACAAAACTCTTTGTTGCAGTTTTGATTAGGGATGTTCCGATCCAATCGTGTGATCGGAAATCGGGACCAATTGCATGATTTCAGACTCATTGGACTCGGGCGTTACATCCTGATCCTGCCGAGAATAAATATGTACCCAAATAGAAATAACCGTATAATTTGCCAATAGTACTTTTTCAGCAACATAATTTTTTTAAAATCCCACCTGTATGTTTTAGTTTTTTGTATTTTCAGTCAAAAAGGGAGTAAATATGTGTCAAAAAGCTCAGAAATATAGTAGAAAAAAAACTTGAAATTTTCCAAGTTGAATATTTTATCTAGAAAACCAACTGAAGTTATTTCCCAGGCTTCATTCTTGTAATTTGGCAGATGTCTACTTATAAGTAACCTAATTTGGAGGTTTTCCTCTCCACTGTTCACATACTTTGAGGCAACTCAGTGAAAATGTTTAAATACCGAACACAAAAAAATCACAATCATCCTAAATATGCTAAAATACAAATTGTAAAAAGTTTTCCAACATGCTTAATTATATCCCTCATACAAGGGAGGGAAAAGTGAAACACAGTAAGTAATTTAATCATCTGTGCTTTTGGTTTCACTGTGTGGTTAGACAGCTGACGGTTAAGTTCAGTGGACAGAGCGTACCAGAGGTATATAATCAGCAAACCTTTTATTAAATTCACATTTTAAACCAACATTGCAGTGTCAGAAACACAATGTTCTCCTGTAGGAGGAATAAAGACGTTTGCATCTTTAGTGTTTTTCCTCCAATCTGATTTTTACAACACTGCAAAAACACAAAAGTACTTTTGGTCTGGTATGCAGCGCAAATATCTTTGTACACTTGAAATCCAACCAAACATTTTGCAAGAAACTTCAGCAAGATATAGGACTTTATCTTAAGTAAATAATTCCTTGGTATTTATTAAAATAAGTAGAAGTCTCACTTAAAACATGGAAAAATGTCTCATTGTAGGTGAAAATCTTGTCAGTGGAAAAAGTACTTTTTAGTAAATATTAAGAAATTACTGACTTAAAACATGCTTCAATCTTGCTGAAAAGTTACTTGTAAGTTAGTTTTGTCTTATTTCAACTGTACTAACATATTTGAACTAAAAACTAGAACAAAATACTTGGTAAGAATTTATGTTTTTGCAGTAAATATAGCAGAAAGCCTCATTTAATCACATTCAAAGTAGTTAAAGCTTGCAGACGGTGTGAAGATATGTTCGGTGACGCCTCAGTTTTGACTATTTGTCGTCTCCTAAGAAGCAATAAACACAAACGAAGCCTCCTCTGGAAGCAACTGAGCTCCAGCATTTGAGTTTAAGCTGCTTATTTTTTTATCGGATATGTTGATCCACGTTTGATCCTCATCAGAATCTACAATCAACTGTTAGGGAATAAAAAACAGTGACTCATAGTGAGGCAAAGCTGCTCAGTTTGGCTTCTCCAATTATGAACAGAACCTGGAAAACCAGGACTGATGTGAGGCAGAACTGCATTCAGAACCAGAGAAGAGTTTATCTAGAACCGATTTGACGAAATGGAAGTTTACGCACCGTACACCACCATGATACTTTCCAACAAAAACACAAAATCTTACTAAGTAATTTCATCTAAATACGAGTTAAAACATCTTAATGCACTTGATATAAGAAAACTAACTCACAAAAACCTTTTCAGGAAGAAATAGAAGCTTATTTTCAATCAACAATTCCTTAATATTGATTAAAAAAATACTGGTTCTACTTGAACTTTTAGATCAGTATTGAAGAATTATTTACTCAAAACAATCTCCTATTTCTTCCTAAACAGTTACTTATAAGTCAGTTTTGTCTTATTTTGATATTTGCACTAAAAGCTAGACTCAAAATACCTGGTAAGGTTTTGTGTTTTTGCAGTGAAGCTCCTGAACACAAACAGTTTTCTGTGAATCTATTGGATGGAGGGCGACAGGAGCATCAGGGTGAAACGTAAAGTGGACCGAATATTTTCTGCAATGCACCGGAATGATCGCTGGAAATCAGAAACGGAAGGGGAAGGCAAATACTTTAAAAGCAAACCAGGTAACCAGTTTAGTCATTAAATAGGAAACAAGAAATGATCAGGGTGTTTGGAGGAAATTATCATCTTTGGCTGTTAAAGCAGAGAGCTTCTATCATTATAATTAAAGCAGGAAATAACAGCTCCATTTGATTGTCCAGGGGGAAACCCAAATGTTCGCAGATGAGGGTTTATTTCCACCCTAAATAACTTCAAGCTTCCATGCTCCTCAAAACATCTGACTACGACCCGCCGTCAGCATAAAACCAGTCTGCACCGAAAGAACCCAGCGGCTCCGCTCGGACCATCACTTCTGGATGTAGATGATGATGATGCACAGAGTTCCCACCAATCCCAAAGCCTGGAAGCCCAGGAACCAGAGCAGGACCCAGAAGACCAGCACCACCACTGGCTCCACTGTCCGGTCCCCGAAGTAGACCTGGTTGAAGCCCAGGCCCCGCAGGCACTTGTTGATCATCCCAAACAGAGTCCCCATCCTCTCGCAGTCGTCCAACTGAGGAGCTGGGACCGCCGGGTCATGGGATGGCTGCAGCACGGCTTCGTTTTGGGGGCGTGTTCGGGTCCGGCCGGGATCCATCTGCAGGGATGAAGTTTCATTTTGGTTGAATTTGTCCCGCTCCAGACACAACAATCATCAATTAATGGATAGAGGCAGATTCAGCAGGGCCGGCCAAAACCTTTTTGGGGCCCTAAGAATATTTTCATTTGAGGCCCCTTTTACCAGCATTATGACAGGGCCATGTTAAAAAAACAAAATTAGAAAATTACGAGAATAAACTGACAATATTATGAGAATAAATTCTAAATAATATTTTGTAATATTATGACTTTATTCTTGAAACATTATGACTTTATTTTTGTATTATTTTTATTTTATTCTTGTAATGACTATTTTTGTTATACTTCATTTTCAAAATATTGACTTTATTCCCATTATTTTGACTTTATTCTCGTACAACTTTAGTCTCATGCAAGTTCATTCTCTTCATATCATGACGTTATTCTTGTAATTTTACAATTTATTCTTGTGATTCTAATTTTCTATTCGTATGGCTCTCATATTATGGCGACTCTACCAGTATGTGTGAAACAAACCTATCATTAGCGTTATTTCTAATTAGAATACGTTACATCGGTATTATTATGGCTCTTGGGGGACCCCTGATGGTGTGGAGGCCTTAAGCAGCCCCTTAACTCTCATATGGCTTGGACCGGTTCTGCAGTTCAGACACACACAGTGAGCAGAACTGATTTGAGTTTCTGATCAGATGCTTGGTGTCAGACCAGGAAGTGCTGTTGTTCCACTCAGAACCTCCTGCTGTGGTGAATGCTGAATCATTAACTGGGATTGTAAACGGGTCTTATCCATAAGAAGTGTTGACAGCTCTTCTATGGGACACAGCTTCCTGTTTTCCCAACCCTCCTCCCCGTCACATAAATCTACCTGCTCTTCGGACCCCACCCTCTGTGATAACACCACCTGTCCAACTTGCACCACACTGGTCACTCCTGTGAACATCCCCTGATATTTATTATAAAACTACTGAACCAAGATGAATAACACATAGGCCGAACTGAGCTCAGAAGCCCTCTTGTTACACATGTTTATCAGTTTTACTCTACCCGAACCGAACCGCTGAGTTGACACCAAAACGGTTCAATCATCAAATTTTTCAACGGAGTTCGGACTGATCCTGATTCCTGTTTTAAAAGGAACAAACTCCGAGCTAAAATTCTTTCAGCTGTTAAAGCTCTGCTGTTTTCTGAGCCGACCCAACAACACCACTGAAGAGTTCGGAAGAGTTTCCCCCCCGAGCCCAGAATCAGTTTCAAACAGCAGGTTTTGCTCTGTGGCAGATTTTACCCGGACTGAGTGCAGATCCCCGCGGAAGGTCTGCGCCGCGCCCCGCCTCCTCCGCTCCTCCATGGAGAGCCCGTCTCCATGGTCCGGTACGGCCGACATGTTCGGGTCACAACTTCCAGAACCCGAGGGGAACTAACCAGAGAAAGCAGCGGTTGGAGTCCGCCCAGAGAGGGAGAAGGAGAGGCGTCCCGATTACAGACAGCGAGGCGCGGCGCGCCCCCTGCCGGCCAGGGAGAGTCACTGCTTCTGCTGATATTTAATGACACATCAGCGTTTCTTCAGATCTTATAATGCATCAACTTAATACATTTCTGTTGCATTTTTTATGTTTTTGAGCGCTTCCTAATGTTTTAGCTCTACGTAGTCCATCGCTTGATTTTGGATTCACTGAATATGAACATGATGAACAAACCTGAGACATTTTAGCCCCAGAGCTCCAAAAGTTGCATCAAGCAAACAAGTTTATTTTTACAGCCTCAACTGCAGGACAGCTATTACTGTTTTTAAGTTTTATAACACTGTGGTTTTTATTTTTATACATCCACATTGCCTGTTTTGTGTTTATATAGATGGTCGATTGATGCTTCGTTAGGACTTTAGAGAGAAGAGACAATTTAAGATGTTTTTTTTTCATTCAAAACTTTTGCTTATGGCTACATGTGACATGTTTATTTTAATCTGAATAAGATAAATAAAAACAAATAACATCTGCGACCTTAACCTGAAGGTAATGAAAACAATTTCTTCTCTAGAAAGTTCAATTTTTATTTTAACAAAAGGCAGTTTTTTGCAACCAAAAGACACAAATCTAATATTACTTACGAAATTAGCATCATTCTTTGCTTTCATGCAAACATGTAAGATAAATGACTGAAACTAGCATTTATTTTTGATTATCTTTACATTTTAAAGTGCTGTTCAATTCTTTAGCTTAAATTGGAGGGTCAAAACAGTTGCATGTGGCTCCAGAGGCACAGGTTGCAGGCGTCTCTGTGTCAAAATATCTCTACAACACTTGCCTGGTCTTAATGCACAAAATACATATTTGTTAATGTATGAAAATATAATTCAAATGCTGCTTTGCATGTTCCACAGAAACTGAAATGCAGCTTCTGCAGCAAAGCATCGTCTGTTTTCAAGACTGCATTTAGTTCAGTTTAGAAGCAATCTGTGCTGCAGCATCTGATCCAAACAAAGGAGACTGGCATCTTCTCTGGGGATTAATGGGTCACAGCAGTTCCTTCTACCCGTACTCCTGAGCTCTGTGTTCACATGCAAAGCTAATGGAAGAAATGCAGACAAAAGAAAGTAGAGGAAGTAGTAGGTAGAGAGTAGAAATGACGTGAAGAGGAAGCGATAAGTGCAAACAGAAAAAGAGCTGCAGAAAGATCATGATGCAAATAGGATGAAGTGCAGAGGAAGAGTTGCACAAACAACATAGTTCAACTGTAAGCAGTAGAAACAGAGAAGTAGATGCAGACATGAGGAAGTGAAATTATCAAAGGAACCCCAAAAAATGGGAAGAAAAAAATGATAATATATATATATTAATATAAAGCTTCACACATAAATGATTGAAACAAGAAAAAAAAACCACCAGGCCTGTTTTTATTGTGGTCACTCCTGCAGAATTAATCCAGAGGACAGAGGGTTTAATTCTGCATGGGGCCCCTGCAGGCTCAGGCAGGTCCTCATTGTGTGATCTGCCACTTTGGCACTGAGGTGAGGGATTACAATCCTGACTGTAAGAACTATAATCCCAGCTAATCTGGGATTCCCTTTCATTCTGCGGCATGGGCAAAGATGAGGACTGGGGAAGCAGAGCAGAGGATCCGTTTGATGCAAGATGTTCCTGCTGGTTCTTCTCCACATCCTGCAGTCGGCCGTGACGACCCGTTCCTGCCCGGCTCTCTGTGTCTGCAGCAGCGGACTGACCGAGCCCAGGTTGGGTTTTTAATCATCTCTATGGTTCTGACTGCTTCTGCTTTCTCCATGTAATATTCTATATTTATGAATACTGAGACATTTACTGTGAAGAGAAGAAAAATGTAAAGTTTCTGATTTTTGTTATGATGTTTTCCATGTGTTTCTGTGATTATCTTATAAATTTCAAGTTTTGTTTTTTTCCTTTCAATTAATTTCACAGCTGCATGAACTGTAAAAACAACAAATCTTACCAAGTATTTCTGCCACATTTATAGTACAAATATCTTAGCACACTTGAAATAAGAAAACTAGCTTATCAGTAACTTTTTTCCAAGACATAGAGGCTTGATTTGAGCCAATAATTTCTTAATGTTGATGAAAATGTTCTAGTTCCATTTTACAGATTATTTAATTTATGACAAGACATTTTTCCAATGTTATAAGTTAATTTTTCTGCCATTAGAACTATTTCATTAATGTTAAGGAATTATTTACTTAAATGAAGCTTCTACATCTTGCTGATCGTTACTTGTGAGTTTGTTTTCTCTGATTTCAAATGTTAAGATATTTGCAGTAGAAACTGGACCAAAATATTTGGTAAAATTATGTTTTTTTCAGTGCACAGTTACTCATCATTGTGCACCGTCTATTCCCCAAATGAGTGATGACTTTTTTGCTCTAAAAGATATAAAATAATAAAGCTAAATCCTGACTTTATGACTGTTTGGCAGGTCGGTCCAGTGCAGCGACTCCAGGATGTCGGCGCTTCCTGTGAACCTTCCAGCCGACTCGGTCAAACTTCGCCTGGAGAAGACCTCGATCTCCAGGGTTCCCCGCGCAGCTTTCTACAACCTGTCGGAGCTACGCTTCTTATGGCTGACCTACAACTCCGTAAGATCTGTCCACCCGAGCAGCTTCGTCAACCTGAAGGCGCTGCGGGAGCTGCGCCTGGACGGGAACCTGCTGACCGCCTTCCCCTGGGAGGGGCTCCGAGACATGCCCCGCCTCCAGACGCTGGGGCTCCACAACAACCGCCTGTCCAGCCTTCCAGCTCACGCTGCACTCTTCCTCCCCAACATCACCTACCTGGATTTGTCCAGCAACAGGTGGGTACAGCACACCAGGCTTTTGTCTGTTTTTATACTTCAAGCCCAAGTGCTTAAAAAAGTTTATGTATTTTGGTGTCTGGAAAATTAGTCGTTTCAAAAACTCACACTACCAGGCAATGACCCCGGTAGTCCTAGGAAAGTCCAGCCTGTTTTCTAGCAACCCACGCAGAAAACCTGTTTGGATTTAAAGCGACAGAGGCCCTGAAACAGCTTTTTCTGTAAGGAATGAAGGAAAAACTAAAATCTCATCATGTAATCACAATTTTGTGGGGGAAAAAAATGTGATGAACTTGTTTTATATGTGCAGAGACGAATCCTAACCTGTTCAATGAAGCATAACGGGTCATCTTTTTGAGGTACGTCTCGGCTGTTCATTGATGCTCTCCTTTCCTCAGGTTGACTATTTTACCTGCTGAGCTCTTGGATCTCTGGTTTCCTCTTCCAGAACTACAGGAAGGACCAGTTCAAAGAAAGATCTTAGGCAAGTATAGAAGGACACTGTGGAATCTGTTGATAACTAATCGCTCCAGACAAAGATGCACCACATTAGGCGTCCTTGTTCTACTCTTTGCTTTGCTACAGAGGGACTGGACACTTAGCGAATCAGAAACGATTCCTTGCTGGAGGCGTGGACTCTGCTAAAGTTTAAGCTTTCATCCAATTGCCAGAGCTTGAAACATATGTAATATTCCAGTTTGACGCTAAGAAGATTACCAGAAATTAACTTCACTGTGAACAACAATCGTCTGCTGGCTGCATTTCTCTTACAAATGTGTGAAAACTTTATTGCTATTCCACTAATGTCGAAAAAACATTATTTTACAATTGCAGAATTTCCATTAAATAAGGAGCGCAATGAAAATCAGTTTGTAAACAACATGCTGCTCCGTCATCCTCCTGCCACTTCCTATTATTTTCTTCGTCTTGTTGATCACCTCGACTCGTGTGATGTGGAAAAAGTGTTGCTGTTGAAGTTTTAAGAAATACTGCAACTTCAAAACAGCCGGAAAAAACCACTTCATAAGATAAGTGGAAATGCAGCTATTTCAAGGAGAGATGTGCTGAGCCAAACAAGATGGCTGCTATATTTGGAGGAGTGGCCAAGATGGACTGAATGGTTTAGTTCACTTCCTGTGCTGCTGTTGCTAAAACAACATGAAATCAGGGTCATCATTCACAACTTCTTCTGCCTACTGATTTACCTGGTTTAAACTCTACCAAAAGGAATTCAAGTCAATAGGAGAAATCCCAGAGGGAGCAGTGAAGGGAGATGAGAATCAAGTGGATTGCGTGTGATGGATTTCACATTCAGCTTTTTGTGCACTTTTTCAGCAATCTGAGTCAAACTTTGCTTCTCACTCAGGTCTGCATGACAACCCCTGGCTGTGTGACTGCCAGATTTCCATGCTGACATCATTGTCCATGTCCCTGGGGAGCCCGGTGGTTCTGATGGATCAGGGGCTGATGTGCAGCAGGTCCCTGGGTCAGTCCGGGTTGATGCTGACACAAGCCGAGCTCTCTCGCTGCATGCGGCCCTCCGTCCAGCCGGCAGCCACCAGGGTCAGCTCTCCGCTGGGCAGCAACGTCATTCTCAGATGTGATGCTAGCGGTTACCCGACACCGACGCTGACCTGGATTAAAACCTCGGCTTACCCTGGTGAGCAAAGCAGGGCTACGTTTGGCACTGAAGTGATGCCACAAACATCCGAGTGACTGAATATAAAGATCTGATTTTCCCAAATAGGTTGTTGTAAACAAGACCTCCTGCAGAACACTGAACAACTTCCCAAGATCTTGGAGAGCTGTAAGTTGCCTCTTGACTGAAGCATTAATATTTTTTTCTCTTGAATCTTTGCTACAGTTTGTGCATTGCTTACACTCAACTCTTCACCAATATCAGTATAAAAACACAAAATTTTAACAAATGTTTTTGTTATTTCTGGTGTGAATCTCTTTGTACACTTGAAATAACACAAATGAACAAAAAAAGCACAAGTTCCCAAAAAATTATTTCACTAATATTGAGATGTTTTTTCCATGTTATAAGTAAAATAATCTAAAAGTAGAAAACACTAAACTAAGCTCTGATTCCTAAATTCCTAATTGAACTTTCTCAAAGATTGTTTCTTTCTTCTATATTTTACATTGGCTGTTATAATCCTAATTGCACTGATTGAACAAATGAACGTAGTTTTGTTTTTACATGTTTGACCAAACTTGTGACACGTTTGGTTTATTCTATTGAATATTAGATTTTTAAATTCAGTACATTTATGTAAAAAGAAACATTTTCAGTTAATATAGAACTGCTTTTCTGTATCAGATATCAGTATCAAAGTGAAGCATTCCTATTTGTTTTTTTTAATCAACATTTAGAAAGTATGGACTTAAAGCAAGTTTTGATAGCTTGCTGAAAAGTTACTTTTAAGCTTGTTTTGTCTTATTTCAAGATACTTGCACTAGAATCTAAACCAAAGATACTTTGTCATATTTTGTGTTTTTGCAGTGTGCATCTCAAACTCTCTGCCATGTGTTTCAGTTATGCAGGAATCCCCTCGTGTCGGTGTTCGCTGGTCCATAATCAGCCTCAATGGCCTGTCATACAAGGATGCAGGGGAATATCGCTGCCAGGCACGAAACATGGCTGGAATATCTGAAGCTCCAATCAAACTCAAGGTTATGGGCATCACAAGACTGTCTCGTGTCCCAAAGAAAAAGAAAACAATGTTGTCCAAATCGTCAACAAAGGAAGGCAAACCGCCCCGAACTCCTTCCACCAGCAGCATCAAGGGAAAGGAGAGTCAGAAAATTACAAATGCTGCGCCGTCCTTACAGAACAACACACAGGAAGTTTAAAACCTTATGAACAAAGACCCTCAAACAACTCTACCAATGTTCTCCGAGAAGAAGCACCTGAATGCGAATCACTACGAATCAGCGAATTCAAAAAGTTCCAGTCAACACCGAGGTCAAATCAAAGTAGTTTCAGCTTTCAGAGCTCTTTACAAATTCCTGCAACTGAAAAGTACATTTTCATTGAAATGCTGATTATGACACGCTGGTATATTACCATACTCTATATATTAAGTCATGAACGGTAGAGAATTTCCTTCAACTCAAACAGGAGAGAAATGAACTTTTAGCTTCGTTTGGCACAGACAAGGAGAAACTAACACTTTGAATAACCTACAGGACACAAAGTGATTATTAATAAAAGTATTTTTTATCAACCTCCTTCTTCCTGAAGTGATTCTGATTTCAAATACACATTTTAACAGGATGTTTTAAAATCATGATTATAAATAACGGCATGAAATGAATATTCTCACAATTTCCTGAGCGCAGAATCAGAAACTACTGTCTTTGTTCCACCAGGGGTAAATTTTCTAAGCTTCAGTGGACTGGGTTCTGGTTCTGGTTCTAGGACACATTGCTCCCGAGCCACGTTTCGATCTCGGCCTGGTTCTTCTTGAGCCACTCGATGTTGTTCCTCACCGTCTCCAGCGCCTGCTTCCTGGGCATTTCTCCGGCTCCAGCGTCTGAAGTCAGCTTGAAGAAATTCTCCATCTGAAGGTCCGGAGAGAAAAACACGACGAACAAAGGAGAACAAAAAGAAGTCAAACGACAAGAGGGATGAATTCAGAACCAGTTTAGATGTCAGAGAAAGTGATTTCTCTGATATAATCTAATATATATCTCATAAAATATGATTAGAAGCAGAAAAACACGATGAACTTTGACCTGCCACAGCTGGATCTCGGTGTTGTAGGTGGTTGTGATCTGATTGGGCAGCCGGCCGAGGTTCCTGTCGTTGATGGTGTATCTGTCATGACAGAGAAAACATCATGCTTACGATTTTCCAATGCAGCTTTGATTAAATAAATGATTTAATGCATTAAATCATTCAGGTTCAATGTCTCAGGAGAAAAATAAAAATGTGCAGCAAAGAAAGATTAATCAAGGTGTTTTTATGCGTTTTAAATTAGTTTTAATAACCAAAAATAAAAATGTTCTGCAAGATTTAATACATTTGTATAAATATTAAGGATTTATTGACTTAAAACAAGATCTTAAACATCTCATATAAGTTTTATCTTATTTCAAGTGTACAAATATATTTTGCAGTAGAAACTAGACTTGGTAAGATTTTGTGTTTTTGCAGTGAACACATTGAAACATATTACGTAAAAAGTGGAATATTTGAAAACTTATCATTTGTTTCCAGCATAATCTTTGTTTAAATGTCCCTCACACAGTATTAGAATCACATTTAAGTGACATTACAGTGTGAAGTTTTGTCAGAAGTAACTTGGTGAGCTTTTTAGTGGCATCACTTACTGAATTTGTGAAATTTGTAAGGAAAACATTCGGAAACTAGAAAACCTGACAGACATTTTCAATAAAAAGTTACAAATTTTGTTGTCGTGTTTTAATTTTTTTAAATATTCACATATATTTTATGTGACTGTGACTTGGACTAATTAATTCAGATGATGTTTTGCTGCAGGTATTCTGTTGTGCAATATTATTTTGGCTTCTTTAAGGTATATTTAGTTACCCTTGCTTTCTATGGTAACAATGCCGTCGTCTGAAAAATAAAGACATTAGTAAGAAGCGCAACAGTAGCACGCCTTTCCTAGCATTGTCTTCACTTCCTTGCACAACTGCATTGATGCAACAGATTTAGGAGGTGAAGCCAGAAGTTTCTCTTTTTCTGACGTTAAATTTGACGAAACTTTTCTTGTCAGAATCACCAGAGTAAATTCTATTTATTGATAAAGAGAGAGAGAATGTCTGAAATTTGTTAATGTCTTCACGTCCGAAAACAAAACCATCCAATACTGGAGAAGCCGAGAAGACATTAACAAATAATCGCGACAGATTCTCTCATTGTTGTGGTATTTTACAAATGCAGGAGAAGTTTGTTCTGATTTAACTTCAGACAGTTAGTCATAAACATGGATGAGGTTTTTTTTTTCTTGGCATATGTAATCAGCAGTTTCAGGTGTGAATAGTTAAAAAACAGAAATTTAAATTTGATCTGGACTTTGACAAAAAACCACCTTGGATGAAAACAACTATAACTTTATTGACATCCCTGATCGTTCCCTGAAGGAAATATTTCACAGCTTACAGGAAGCTCCCTACTTTCTCTCTCTCCTGATGAAACAGTCGTTACAGTCTGATAAGTTATCACAGCTTATTAAACTACAAAAAGAGCCGGACGTCAGGTGACTCTGCACATTTTAAATTTTTTTTTTTTTTTCATGAAACCCTCACTGAAGTCCTTTAAAGTAAGAAATTAGTCTTAAGTTTAGAGATTTTGGTTCTTTGGAGGCTGAAACATGTTGATTTAATAAAAATGGGTAAGAATCTGAGTTTGCTGTTGCCACTGACCTCTTGACCAGGTAGTCCCAGTTCAACGTGGTCCAGTCCCAGGCCATGGCCCGACCCACTGCGTTGTATGACACATACCGCACCACAGTGAACAGATCCTGACTCCTCACCACCGTTTCATCTTTGGTGGCCTCCAGGAGGCTGTTGGATAGAAGAAAAGTTTCATTTTCATTATTCTTCACAAGCTTTTTTACTTCATTTTGGACCAAAGATATTCACATTTTGCACGTTTCTATACATCTACTTGGGTCTCTATTGCTTCTAAAATCAAGCCAAGCCCATAAGATAAAAACTTTCAAAAACCTCCGGAAAGTAACAAATCTCCAGGCACTTCCCGTTACCCAGCGACCCAAGCAGAACTCCAGCTCCCTTTAAGAGGTTAGGATGTGTCTCTCTATGGACGATACAAAACAATTTCATTCAATTTTTCATACATTCATGTTCAGATCATGAGATTTCAGTCTGGTTAGTTCAGTCTATTTTGAGCTGCTTTCAGAACAAGATGTTTTAAGGGATCTTGTCACTTTAAAATTAAATGAGCTGCTGCTGGTCATGACCCCTCCCCCCTCACCACCACAGACAGACACACACACACACACACACACACACACACCACACACACACACACACACACACACACACACACACACACACACACACACACACACACACACACACACACACACCCACACACACACACTCCCCAAACTCTACTTTTAGACTGGCACATAAAAATGGCTGCAAACAGATGTGCATTTATACAACCGTACATCTTTGAAAAGCAGAAGTAGAGCTTCCCACACAATCAGCAAGAATGCAGCAAGTGATCGACGACTAAAACACCCGCCTTTTCCAACAACCATTGTATACAGTTTTAAAACCGGTTGGTTTTAAAAACATGCAGGAGCTCAGCTTGGGTTGAGAGGCAACCCCTTGGTCACTCGGTGAGAGGCAGTGCCCCAGCAAACGCCTAAAAGCATAAATGTATTTCTAGAAAACAGCTGTTTTTAGTGCTTGGTCTGTTTGTGGGAGCAGTAGAAACCCAAATGGAAGTACAAAAACCTGTAAAATGTACATAGTATGTTATATGTACACAAACACTGCTGTACTTACTGCACATATTTCTCTACCTTTAAGCCTCCTCAGCATTAAGTTTCTTACAAGTTGCGGTTTGTCCTGTTGCTTATTGAGGAGATCAAACCTTTACGCCATCTTGAAAATGAAGTTTTATTTACTTGTACAGAAGGCCTATGTCCTCCACCGATGCTAGTCCATACAGAAGCTTGTCCTTCTCCTGAGCCAGAGTCGAGTCTTTGTACCTCTGGAACATCTGGTTCCAGTGGTCCTGACTCTTCGATTCCTTCATGCCGTAGCGGTACACCAGCAGCCTCAGGTTCACCGGGACGCTGCTGCAGGTCCACAGGAGTGAAAATACCACTTTTAAACAACAGATGTGTTAGAAATTGAGATTTTAATTAATGGCCCTGCTTTTCTGCAGGCAGGGCTGGATTAATAAAGCTGACCTGAGAGTTTTGTCGATCCACTGTTTAAAAATATTTGATGCTTCTTTCAGTGCGTCTGCGTCTCCCATCTGACATGCAATGCTGAGGACAGTTTCCCTCAGCAACCTGCAACATTAAGCAGACAGCATAATTTTATTACCATTAAGTAAAAATAAAAATAATTACTATTTTGTGTTACTTTTGTACCTGTCCGTTTGTGTACCCTCATCTGTCCACCCCAGTCGTGTCGCAATTGGTTTAACCAGTTCACCAAACAGTTTCTGAGAAAAGGAATAACGTTAATTTATCTTCAATAAAACCAGGAAGAAAATAAAGTAATAAAATAAATAAATTACAGAAACAGGTCAGAGAAAGTCACTTTTAATTGCAACAAGCTGGAAAATGTACATTCACAGAAATGGGTTCCCATAAAAAACATAATTCGCCTTTTTCCAGAATTTATCATTTTGGCTGCTTGGCAAAAAGTTAAGAAGCACTGATAAAAACAATTTGGCAAAAACATTTAAACTGTTAAAATATTTCAATAATAAAAGAATGTCATAATTATTGCATCTGGATTTATTTTTGCAATATTGTGTTTGTATTTGTTTGACATACTTTATGGTTTATTGTTTACTTAATTTTTACAACAATTTCTTTGAATTTAAAACTTTTTCAATTTAATTTTAAATATTTTTCTGCTTTCAGTAATTCTTAGAAAAAAATTGCCTTTGTCACACTAACAGATTTTTTTTTATTTTAAAATCATCAAAGCACAAAATAATAAAAACAGCAAATTAGAAATTCAGTTCGACTCCAGATAAATATCTTCATGTTGTGAATTTTTTTTCTGCTCACCTGAAACTTTTTGTAGAGATTTTCGTTGTTGGACAACATGTCCCGAACGTAGGCGATGGACGAAGCCACACGACTCCAAACGATGTACTCCGTCTCTTC